GCCCAGCTAATTTTTTATATATATATCAGTTGGCCAATTAATTTCTTTCTATTTATAGTAGAGACGGGGTCTCACTCTTGCTCAGGTTGGTTTTGAACTCCTGACCTTGAGCAATCCGCCCGCCTCGGCCTCCCAGAGAGCTAGGATTACAGGCGTGAGCCACCGCGCCCGGCCTAATAAGTGTCTTTTGAATAACTACTATGTAAACTCAAAACTTGGTATTCGAGCACTTGAGGGGAATGGTTTTAAGAAGATGAATTTAGTTTTACAAATGTTGTGTTTTAGGTGGAAGACATGGACTAGAAATAAGAAATTAAACTTAGAAAAGAGAACAGGGTTAAATAGGTTAAAGTTTGAGCCTCAGGGACCTCCCCATTTAGGAGATGGGAGGTGGGGGAGAAAAGGAATCAGCAAAGGAGACATAACCAAGATACTTAGATGGTCATACCCATAAAAGTGAAGGGAAGGTGGTCAACACTATCAAATGTAGCAGCTGATGGAGAATGTAGACTGGTGGTTTAGAATGTCATTGGTTGAAATGACACCATTATTTCGGTGGTAAAACTTCCTTACTTTAAAGACCTTTGACATTTGGAATTTTGCAATTAAGTCTTTGGCAATTCTCTAGTTTTTCAGAAAAAAGAATTATGTTTTGCCTCAACTCAGGAAAGAACTCTTATAAACAAATTTAATTTGTCCCCTTATTTAATATCGAAGGAAAAATATGCTAGAATACATAGACTAAGTAGCTATAACAACAAAAACAGTGGTAAAATAAGTTTATTTCTCTCTCACAGTGTGGAGGGGAGTAGTCCAAGTCATACAAGCTATGAGGTATTCAGGGACCCCAATCCTCCATCTTGTTGCTCTGTTATCTTAGGGTGTTGTCTTTGCCTGATCAAAGATGGCCAATTGTTAAATAGTTCCAACCATGGGATGTAGAAGGGATGGGGTTTCATCTTTAAGGAGATGAGCTGGATGTTAAATTGATCAATTCTGCTCACATCACATTGGCCTAAACATAATCACGTGGTCACATTTAGCTTCAAGGTAGTTTAGTTGGGAGATGTAGTCTAAAGCTGGGTGGCCATGGCCTAGCTAATACTCAGAAGAAATAAAATGGGAAGTGGAGGACCACAATTAGCACTCTCTAGAACAGGCGTCCTCAAACTACGGCCTGTGGCCCACATGTGGGTGTTTTTGCCCATTTGCTTTTTTACTTCAAAATAAGATATGTGCAGTGTGCACAGGAATTTGTTCATGGTTTTTTTTTTAATTATACTTCTGCCTTCCAACAGTCTGAGGGATAGTGAACTGGCCCCCTGTTTAAAAAGTTTGAGGATCCCTGCTCTAGAACATATGATCTGGAAGAAACAGGTCTTTCTCCCTATTAAAATATGGTTTTTTGAGTAGAATTCAAATACTTGAATTTTTCTACAAAATGAAACACAATGCTATGTGACAAAAAAGCCCAGACATTAAGTTACTCAATTTTTATAAAAGATTTCATAAATTAAAAAAAAAATCCCACTTAGTGACTAGTTTGAATTTTTTTTATTCTCTTTTCTTTTTTTCACATAGCCTTGACTTGAAACTCATCATTTAGCTTTTGGGTACAATATCTTACTTTGTTTTTCTTTAGGATTCAGAGAACTGGTAAAACTACTGGTGATATTAAATTCAAGATTATTGAAAAGCATTCATGTTATGTCTATCTAGTAAAGACAAATAATGACGCATATCTGTATTATGTATCTATTGCTGTGTCACAAATTACTCTCAAAATTGAGGTGCTTACAATAAATAATTTATTATATCACACAGTTTCTGAGGTGAGAATTTTAGAGCTTTTCTAGATGGTTCTGGTTCAGGGTTTCTCATGAGACTATAGTGAAGATTTTGGCCAGGCATGGTGGCTCACGCCTGTAATCCTAGCACTCTGGGAGGCTGAAGCGGGTGGATCGTTTGAGCTCAGGAGTTCAAGACCAGCCTGAGCAAGAGCAAGACCCCACCTCTACTAGAAAATAGAAAGAAATTAGCTGGACAACTAAAAATGTATATAGAAAAAAATTAGCCAGGCATGGTGGCACATGCCTATAGTCCCGGCTACTCGTAGGCTGAGGGAGGAGAATCGCTTTTGTCCGGGAGTTTGAGGTTGCTGTGAGCTAGGCTGACACCATGGCACTCTAGCCCCAGCAACAGCGTGAGACTCTGTCTCAAAAAAACAAACAAACAAAATAACACAAAACTCTGAATTATATGCATAGCAAACAAAAAAAATTTTTTTTTGGCCAGGGCTGGAGTTGTTTGAAAGCCTGATAAGGTTGGAATTTTTGCTTCAAAGCTGAATCAGATAGCTGCTGGAAGGAGGCTCCAGCTCCTTACCAAGAGAATTTCTCTGTAAGTCTGACACATGGCAGTCAGCTTCCATCAGAGTGAGTGATCCACAAGAGGGAGGGGGTATAAGAGAGCAATCAAAACGCCAAAATTGTCTCACAACCCAATCTCATAAGTGACATACCGTCACTTTTGCTCTATTCTGTTGACCACTCAGACCAACCTTGGTACTAGGTGGGGGTGATATATAAGTGTGAAACCATGAGTTGGGAGTCACTGGGGGGCCATCTCAGAGGCTGCCTACCACAATACATAACTTGATGTTGGAAAAAACAAAACTCCATAAAATCTATCCATCTATCATTTTTAAAAACAATTAAAAAATTCTATCTAATACAAATATTAGCCCTAAAGCTTGTCAGAGTAAACAAAGTAAACTTGAGGTATTGACTATGTACAAGAAAAAAAAAGTTGGTTGACACATATGCATAAGATTAATCTTATTAATTTCATTAGGTTTCAGAATCATTGAATCTTTCAGGTTTTATTTGATTAAAATATCTGTTTATAAAGTTCTTCACATGGTCAGAAATGGCTTCCTCAGGATGAACATTTTTAATCAGCTCTGGTTTGGTTTCTTGAAACATTTCAGAAATTAATGCTAACAAGTAAAGATCCTTTGAAAATGAGTTTTTCTAAGTTTTGGTCCAGTTTAAAGACATAGGATCCTCTAATGTTGCCTGAATACTGAGCTATATTTGGGAAGTTGGCATACAGAGGGGTCTGTCTTGGATTAGGTCTCAAAATACCTAAAGGATTTCCTTAAACAGGCCCAGGGTCAGATATAACAGGTGCATCACTTCTAATTTTGGAACTAGAAGTAGCCAGTTTAGAGTGAGGTTGTTCTGCACTCATTCAGCAGGAATTTAGATATTACTTTACTTGGAATTTCTGTGTGAGTTTAAAAGGCAAGCCATGTTGTAAGTAGTGGCAATACTCAGCAATTTTTTTTTGAGCAGAATGAGAAGTATATCCAATGTAAGCATATGAAAAAAAAAAAAAAGCAACAGGTTTGATCCAAAACTGTATTTTTCTAAAAGTGATTCCGAAGTGTTTCTTCTCTACAACGTGGGAAAAAAAATTAATATTGGGACAGGAATAATTTTTCATTTTGGTAACAGTAATCTTTGTATTCTCTAAAAACAGCACAATTGGAGATATAATCTCTAAACGTTAAGAAATCAAAATTAGATGCTCCAATGACTAATTGCTTGCACTTAAAATACTGAAGAAAAGTGTCTAACATAATTTTTAAAGCTATTTATGTTGGACTTGCACCACCTGGTCTGCCCTGACCCCATTCCAAGGTATTTGACTATATGTCTCTAAACCTATAGTAGCCTTCCACTTTTCTCTTCCTCTTCCCTCCCTTCCACTGTGGCCTAGAGTGGAGTAGTTCTTATGATTAACCATTTATTAAATAAGGCCAACAGATGCGGTTGTATTTTAGCAAACTAAAATTCTGGTTTCACAGAAGCACGCTGGATAAATTCTGGGTTCTGATGCACAACCTGACTGTGCCAATTCCTTGTCATTCAACATGGGAGGGTGGGAAGTTGAGCCGGAAGCCTCGAGCGCTGCTGGAACCACGGCAAACCTAGCATGTTATTGAGCAATTCACGAGATGAATCTTTTAGGAAAAAAAAAAAAAAAATCTAACTTCTGACACTGACATCTCTTTGTGTTGGGATGTTCAGCAACAGTGACAGGGTGAACAAAAATGTCTCTGGCGAAGGCATCATCTTGCCAGGGTGCGGGAGCCGTACTGTAATTTCTAATGGGAATCAGCATTCCACGGTTGATTTACGGACAGTTGTGTGTCGTCCTGCACCGTGCCAGGAGCCTGCGCCAATTAGCTCTATTTTCTGCTTAAGCCGTTAAAGCCACCTCCATGGAAACGCCAGGAGAGCAGGCCGGGGGGAGGGGAGCAGACAGGTGCGCCCTCTGTTAGAAAATACACAAAGGGCCGACATTGCCGCAGCTGTGTCCCTGGCAACTCCACGCAAGCAGGGCGCGCGCACTTCCCGCGGCGCAGCGGGCGGCCAGGCGGGCGGGGCGGCGTGCGCAGGTCGCCCCACGTCGGCTGGCGGAGACCCTCGGCCTGCTCGGACGCGGCGCCAGGGCAGCGCGAAGCCGGCTCCGGGCGGCGGCGGCGGCGGCGCCCGCGCTGTAGGGACTTGTAGTCCTCGTGCCTCCCGGGCGCCTCCCCCCGGGTAGGCAGGGCCGCGCGTCCCCGCCCGCCGCAGTCCGACTTCCTGCGGCTGCCAAAACTACACCTCCCGCCGTCCTCTCCGCGGTCGGGCCGAAAGCGAAAACAAATTCTGGGCTGCGAGGTGCTGCCCTCCGCCGGGCGCCCCCTCCCGCTCCCCGCCCCTCCGGCGCCCTCCAGCGAGGTGGGGAAGCGAAAGGCCGCGTCTTTCCTTTTTGGTTTCCTCGGCTCCCAGCGTGGGGGGCGCGCGGGGGACGCAGGCCTCGCTTCACCTGAGCCGGCCCAGCGTGCGCGCCGCGGGCGGGGGCCGCCTCGCTTCAGCCCAGTTGGGGCCAGGAAACTTGTCTGGGCGACGACCCCGGGCCCGGTTCCGGAGCCGGGCGGCAAGGCCGTCGGGAAGTGACTCCTCACTCTCGGGGCTTCCTTGAACCCCCCACCCCGCCCCGCCCCGCTCTCCTCGGGCGCGTGGTCCCTCCGGGGCGGCGGCCGCGTGCGGACAGCCATGCACTAGGCAGGGCTCCCTTATGCGCCTGGAGACTGCCGACCGCTGCCTCGGGCCGCCGCCGCCTGCTGCCCCTCGCGGAGCCCGAGCCGGAGCCGCCGCCTGCCCCAGGCCGGGGCGTCGAGCAGCCGGCGGCGCGGCCATGTGGGGTTAGCCCTCGCCGCGCCTGGCTGCAGCAGGACCAGCAACATGGAGGCGGCCGTCGGCGCCCCCGACGGCGGGGACCAGGGCGGCGCGGGGCCCCGCGACGACGCGACGCCCATGGACGCCTATCTGCGGAAACTGGGCTTGTATCGGAAACTGGTCGCCAAGGACGGGTCGTGCCTGTTCCGGGCCGTGGCAGAGCAGGTAATTGGCGGGGGCGAGGGGCGGCGGGTCCGGGTGCGGAGGCAGCTGCGGGCAGCTGTCCGGGCCGCCCACGTCCGGGCCGCGCGTGCCCCCGCTGTCGTCACAGCCGCCCATTGTAACGCCGGAACGGGGCGCCGCTTTGGGTCTGAAAGGTGCAAATCGAAACTTAAAAGCCCGTAAAATTAACTGGATGTCGTCCCTCCTGGTGAAGAGGTAATGAGTTGAGGACAACTTGTGAGGCCTGCTCGGTGCTTGGACACTTGATTTATTGCTTGATTTGACCTGGCGACGTGCTGTTTTTCATTCCTGTTCCGCATTCATCTTCCCCTCGCTTTATAAGCACCGCGTTCACCTCAGTAAACCAGATGTTTACTAGAGGAGGTGGTGGACCAAACTTTTCCTTGTAGAACATGTGTGTTTCTGCTGCTGGACCTTGGAGTGGGGGTAATCAAGTCCGGCGATGTCACTTGAGTCAAGAGGGCAAAATTTGCCATTTGGGAAAACCAGCCTTTTACAAGTGTAGGATATTTTGCAGGAATTAAGTCTTTGAGTAGATTCCACGCTTTATTATGCTCTGCAAGGCAGTACAGGTACACTAAAAAGAATTTGCTTTTATTAAAGTCTTTTTGGTGTTGGGAAGGGTGTAACAGGATTATCTAGGCCCTTTGTGAATGGATTTTTTCCCTTGTTAATGGTCAAAATCACTTTCTAATATAGTTGCTTGGAAAGATTTTTCTTTCTTTTTTTTTGAGAGAGCTTATTCCATGTTACATAACACTGTGTTGTGGGTGTGCAGCCACCAAAACCCATCCTATATTGAAAAATAGTTGGATAGAAGTTTTATATTACTGCCCTGGTGTGTATTTCATATCTCTCACATCTACAGTTTGCTTTTCTTTGGCTTAAGAAGGGCTCCTCCCTACCCCACCCCTTTTCACACTCCCTGTGGGGTTTTTATGTTGTTACTGGTTTCTCACCTTTTTTGAATGCTAAATAACTTTTAAAAATTTTGTTTGTGAGTTAACGTTTTACTTAACATCTGTAGGCCAGTCTATTCTCATTTTTTTATACATTAAAAGGCCAGCCATTTATTTCTCAAAGGTAGCATAAAGTCTTTTTATTAAAACAATACATTTATTAAATGGAGACAAACCTTTGCATTAGATTGTAGGCATTGTCATTCAAACATTCTTCCTAAAGCTCCCCAAACCAGGCTCTGCCTTTTTCAGTTCATTAATTAGACTTCTTTCATTTTCAGAAATTTAGGATATTTCAATGTTGCTGTAGGGATATTCACACATATCCACCCCAGTCCTTACTATTACTATTAATAATAGTAGGTAAACAGTCTGCCCCACTTGTTCATTTTCTAAATCTCCATCTGTCCAGCTTCCTATGTCTCAGCCTGCTTGGATTTTTCGGCATCTCCAGAAGCAGAGAAAAGAGGTGGAAGTGAATTCAACTCTTATTTATTACATATTGTTAACTCTAGCAATAGTTTGGTAAGCAAGAAGGTAGAAATTAATAGAGGTAAGGGAAGGTTGGAGCTTATTTGGAGTTATCTGAATACTAATGTATATTGAAGCAGAAGGCTGTGTTTGATATCAGTGTTGTATGCCATAGATATTTGGCAAACTAAATTGTATAGGAGCCTCTATTATTGTAGTGGGATCTCATTTTAAATAGAGGGCAAGAGCTAGTTACACTAAGAACTCCTGGTTAACGTAGATAACACATTTTATTATGTCTTATTGTAATGGGATTTAGGTTAGCCATTAGGAACTATCCTCCCCAGTGATGTGAATGAATTAATAGACTGAGCTTAGTTTAAGACTGAACTTTGGGGGAAGCTCAGCTATTCGGTAGACAGGGACTAAGAGTGCAGCCATAATGGCCATAGGCAAAGTGTATGTGGGGAGAAAAGGGACACAACACTGACCTTAGGCTGCCCTTTTAAAATGTGTGCAAAGGATTTATTTTTTTGCTAACACTTTCTCCTATAAAATCACAATCAGCTTTCACTGTTTCTAAGAAGTCAGAATGAGTAATCTAAATGGCAGTCTTTAAAGAGGGGGAGAAGACTCTAGTTAGGAGTAGTCTTTCCCTCCCAATTATCTGATTTAGATAGGCCCTTTCCTTTTTACACTTGTGGATTTGGGCTTGCAGGAGGCCTGACCTGAATCAGCTCCATAGCTATGGAGCTAAAAATAGGGCACTCTTAGAGGAATTGCTAAAACGGTGTGTCTCAGCCTATCCCAGTGTTTATCCCTATCTTGTCCAAAGTAACGATGGGAAGCCTCTTACTTCTAGCTTATTTTCATGTATATAATAATTTGCAAAGATAGATATTTGTCATACCATTTGAATTTTTCCAGGGTGTCCTTATGCACAGTAATTTACTTTTTAAAAAGTTGTCATTTAACCTCTTGCAGTTCTTGGCTTTGTAAATTACCAGCACCCTACACTTTATGGAGGTTGCTGAGAGTTTTGCTTGTGAGCAGCAGCTGCAGATTGATTCCATGTGCTAAAATTTTTGTTGAAAAGAGAAAAATGAACAGATACGCCTGCCATTGTTTTTGATGGAAAATAAGCTTTACAGAGCTTACATCTGCCACCTGTTGCTAGGTAAATAGCTTTAAGACTAGCTTCACTTTGCTAATGGCAGGAAAGCCCTATCAGATGACACTGTGGTTTATTCATGCTAATAATACCTGGATCCATAATAATGTCTAACATAGCTTCTGTGAAAGAAGTGTTGCTAAATGTCATTTGTTGAGTTGGCAAAAAAGTTTTGTGGTGGTTATTTTTATATATAGGCAGTTCTTTCAGTCATGGACGCTTAGAATATATAAGGATAATTTTTAATAGTGTCCTAAGACAGCAATGAAGGTTAAGCTGAAAACCAGCTGTAATACTGAAAACCAACTGATTGCTAACCTCCACAGGTGCATCTTCAGTGTAATAGGATGTGCTAGTTGTCTAGGCAGGCAGTTGTGCCTGTGGTTGTATGGGTATAAATGAGCCTTGGCTGTTACCCAAGAGAGCTGTGAAATGTGCAGCTGGAGACTCCCTTTTCCTGAATGGTCCGTTCACCCTGAACATAAGGGAAAATCACTCAATTGGATCTGTAACTCTTACAGCTACTTTCTGTTAACATAAATTCTCAAGGGGCCTTGATAGTAGTTTGAGGTGTGTTAGTTATTTCAAATATGTCAGTTTTTTTTTTTTTTTAACCTTGACCCTTTAGAGTACTAGGAATATCTTCACTTGAGAAATCTAGAAATAGGAAAGAATTTTAATCTCTTTTTTAATCATGGTAAAGAATTGGGGGCTAGCCAAAGGGTTTCTAAGTTTTTCATAAGAAATACTAGTTTGTTTCAATCCAAAGTTTTAGAATTTTAGTAAAAGAGAAAATGCCAGTAAGTTATCTTTTTGTTGCACTGGTTGTTTAATAGAAGAATACAGAGGATACAGAGTGAGGGGGTCTGGATCATACTTTGTTGATTGGTACTTTACAATTTTGGGCACAAGAACAAATCCTAAGCCTCTGGGATAACAACACACATTTTTGCATATGTGCGGCCCACTTGGATGTTCTTTCTAGTCTTGTAAGCTTGGTAACTAAGGATTTAAGAATGAGTGCCTTAATTTTTCTGAGACCACGGTGGATTTAAATTTCTACATAAAGACACTAAACGCATTCAAACTTATTGGGGAAAAAAGTCTCTTACAGGCTTAAACCCTGAAAGAGGATTCCTTCTGAAGTTGTCTGTCTGTTCTCTTTTCCAATAAGCATAGGATGAGGTTCAATAGCAGGGATTTTGTTAGCTCTGCTTTGTCAAGAGCAAAGTTACTGTGGAGGGCTGGCCCAGAGAGTAAAGTTTTACAAAGATGTCCTCAGAGGAGTTATTTTAGTCACCTAAAGGAGAAATGCTAATCAGTTCTTTATAGAATGACATCTGGCTTAAGCAGTATTACTGTTTGTGTATGTTATGTTATCACTGTGCTTAGAGGAAGAGGTGGGAATGGGCAAAGACCTCGAAATTATGGAAAGGGAACTATAGGAAGACTAGTATCTATTGGTTGTCAGGTTATTTTGGGTGTGAAAGAAGGCATTAAGTTATAACTTAAATCCACTTTAAACAAAATGCTTAACGGATTATTGCCTTTTTTTTTTTTTTTTTTTAGGTATTGCACTCTCAGTCTCGCCATGTTGAAGTCAGAATGGCCTGTATTCACTATCTGCGAGAGAACAGAGAGAAATTTGAAGCGGTAATTTGTAAATTCAAACATGTGATGATGTCTTGACTTGCATTTACATTTTGGCCTTTAGAAGTGTTCTAGTAGAAATTTCACAGGCTGGATCTCAATGCAGATTATAAAAATAACCCTTATTAAAAAGAACTTCTTTATTGAACTTAAATCTGCTTCTATTCAGTTATGATATTTTCTAGGCTATTTTGTGTTACACATTTATTCAGATATTTAGAAAGCTTCTGTGATAGATAAGACATTGAGCTGTGGGGAATGGAAGGGTGACCTGGACAAGTTCCTTGCATTCTATGAGCTTTGTCTTACGTGGTCAGGAAATTGGGTGTTGTGGTTAATAATGGTTTTGGTGATTGGCAACTCCCTATGAATGAAAAAAATTTTAGACAAGCAGTATAAAAAATATACTGAGCATAAGTAATGTTGAACCCTTACTTTTATCAGAAGGCATTTATAGATTTTGAATTTTCAGGGTTCCTTGTGAAATCACATATCAGAAAACTATAATTATGTAAGTGGTAATTAATAGTTAATAAAGTTTTATATAACAACTTAGTATAATTTTCTCAGTAGTAACTAGTAGGCTGTGAAATAACATGCCACAGTGACCTATTTTCATTTTACATTCAAAGCCTTATAGGATTTATTAGTTATTGGTTTTATGACCTAGATTTATATAACTTGACAACTTTGAATAGTATTTTTCTCTATTGACTGGTAAAGAACATTGTCACTTCATGAATAAGTAAATTCTAAGACTTAATAGGTGAAGAGTTCTTTGAATATTTTCTTGGATTGATGTTTCCTGTATTTAAGCAAAATATTATTGCTAGTAACATTTTTCTGGGTGCTATGGTTTAGGATGGACATATTCCAGGAAGGAGAATTAGTTACCTGCTTGATAGGTTTGAAATCTTGTCTTATAAAAAAACTGATAATATAGAGGCTAGATAAGAGAGAACTAGGGTTGGTAGAGAAGAGGTGGAGAAGTGAAGTCGTCTTTAAATATTTGAAAAAAATTACAAGTGAATCATTAATATTGGCCCCAGAAGGTAAAACTCTGTTGATACTAATGGATGTTGCCAGTGTTAGTTAAACTCTTGCTATGTGGTAGGCATTGGTTTAAGTGTTTTGCATTTATTTAGTCCATATAATCTTATGAGGTATGATTAGAGATTGAAGGTTTCAAGAGAGAAAGTTTCACTTTCCTTATAATAAGAAAATCCTGGCAGTTTCTGTTGGCTGGCATTGGAAAGGGATATTGTAGGAAGGGTTGTACCTTGTCACTGACAAGAGTTCAGCCACAGCCTGGATGGATGCTTCTTGCTTAAAAAGGAGACTCTCAGGTTGGATTCAGGCTTGCGTGAGAATTAGGTCTCTTCTAACTTTAAATGGTTCTGTTGCTTTTTTTATTATTATTATTTATAAATTGGCCATATAATACAGAACAGTAGCCTTTGATTAGTGGGATATTTAAAATACATGGCTCTTTTATTATAAATTTGTCTTGAAACTTAAGACAGTTTTTGGAAATTTGACATTATACAATCTAGAAGAGAATTAAACTCAATCTTTACAAAAATCCATGGGTACATAAAAGAGTTTTATAGACTAGGGAGTGTACTTTAATGTTTTTAAGTATATCACTCTGCTAAATTAACTGGGACTGTAATTTAAAAATACAATTGAATTTGGTGATTAAGATGAATGTCTTTTAGAGCTTTCTCAAATGAGTGCAATTGCTATGAGAAAAACAAACAAGGTTGGGTTACTAAAAATAAAACTCAATTTTATTTTTGTTTTAAAGTAACAATAAAAAAGCAGGCTGTATTAAAAAAAATCTTGTGGATGTTTCAAACTTTTCTTAACATTATTAGTTCTCATCTCTCTTTTTAGGGTGACTGACCTGAGAGACAGTGACTACTAATATCTGTATAATTAAACTGTATTATTTCTTAGCCAGTGTATATCAGTCTTTGTTTTATTCTATTCTACACACTGGCTGCTACCAAATTAACATAAAAGGACTGCATATCATGTAAATTCTCAGTTGAGAATGTCATATGCAGTGACCTTGAATTGCCTTTCTTGGGTAGTCTGAAGGTCCTGCTTGGGCTCAAAGCCCTCTATAAACAGGCCCCTGTTGGAGTCCTCTCCTGCTCAGCTTCCCACCGACTTGTCTCGCTCCAACTGGCCAGGTTATTCCTGTCTTCCTAACACAGTGTTCATTCTTCCTCCTCACGCCACCTTGGCTTTCTCTGTGCAGTATCCTCTCCCTGTGCCATCCAGCCTTCATCTTGAATCACTCCCCTTCAGGAAAGCTTTCCTGGCAACATTTCTGTCTTTAAATTCTTTTGTATGTTTGTGCTCTTTACTTAATGATTAGTATATATTTTCACAATTAGCTTTTATAAATATATATATTTTTAATAATACTGATGTATTCTAGGTTTGTGTATGAAATCAGTAATTCAAAGTGAACATTATTTGCACAGTGAAGCAGTTAACTGTTTTGACATATTTCTTAGATGACATTCTTAATAGACTTTTTTTTTTGCAGTTTATAGAAGGATCATTTGAAGAGTATTTAAAGCGTTTGGAAAATCCACAGGTATGCAGTTATTTAAAATTCATTAAAATGGAATATTGATAATATTGTATATAGAGGGGTTACAGTGGCAGTGTACCCTATTTCCTTATAAACATTTTCTGTAGGCGTCTTAGGTACACATTTTATGTAGCACTTAATTGGAAGACATTGGAGCTGTATACCACAGGTTGCCTCCCTAAGAGTTGTGCTATCTTTATCTTTGTCATATTGGCATGTGAGTGTAGCATAAAAGATCTGAAATGACACTGGTAATGGTTTTCAGAATGGTATGTTGGTGTGGGTGTGGGACTTGGACAGGGTGAGGTTTGATTTTTTTTTTCTAGGCAGTTTGAGAAGGCAGAGTTCTTTTATGCAGGTTCCATTTCCCATGATCAGCTTGTAAAGAGAAGAACCTATTGTGAAAGAAAAGGACAGCACTTCCCCACCACCTGCTAGCCACACTTTCTCAGTTTTGTTGAAGTTAAAGGGATTTTTCTGCTTACAAAACTAATATTCTCAGTGTAGAAATACTAATTTCTTGGAATGCCATTTAGAATGTTCAGATTTTCCATCATCCTCTGTTACGTTAAAAATAACACTGGCAAAGGAAAGAGCTAAAAAGAAGGGAGTAAAGGGAATGTAACATAGGAACAATGGTGTTTGATCAGTGAGTGGTGTGTTCATTTGATTCCCTAATGCCAATTTGAGTGCCTATTATGGATCAAGAATTGCTAGTTATCCTGGGGATGCAGAGAGAATGTAGATAACCAAAAAGTTTCCCTATTATAGGAAAGAAGGTCAAATATAAGTTAGAAGAGTACATGGGTTCCAAGAGGTTTAGCTATGATGCCATAGGCATTCAAAGTTTTATTTCAGTTGGGTAGACAAAGCAATAGTTTGAGAGTGAGTTCACATTTTAAGTCTGAGAAGATTCTAAATAGGAAATGCCTGAGCTGAAGAGCATTCCAGGAAGTGAAAACTGAGTAAGACAGATTCAGAAAACAGTTCAGTTTGTGTGGAGTGTGGAGCACATGAAGGTAAGAAGCAGTGAGAAAGAAGTTGGAGGGGCAGGTTGGGGCCAGATTGTGAGGGAGCCCTTAATGCTAGGCTCACAGTTTGGAGTGTATACTTCAGACCAGCATTTCTGAAAGTGTGATCTATAGGTTATTTGCATCAGAATCACTCAGTGTGCTTATAATAATGCAGATTCCCTAGCCTCTGTGTAATTCCTAGGCCTCAACACATTCCCTATCTTCCTTCCCTGCTTATTTTTCTCTGTAGTGCTTATACCCTCTAACATACTATATATCTACTTCCTACTAGAATTAAGCTCTATGAACACAGAGATCTGTGTGTTTTGTTCACTGCTGAGTGCCCCAGAGCTGAGAATAGTGCCTGGCATTTTTGTTGTCTGAATGGATGGATTAAAGAGTATTGTGTGAAAATAGTTTGAGGTGGATGAGACCTGAGGCAAAAAGATCCATTTTATTTTTTTTTTTTTTTTTTTTTTTTTTTTTTTTTTTTTTTTTTTTTTTTTTTTTTTTTTTTTTTTTTTACAGAGTCTCGCTTTGTTGTCCAGGCTAGAGTGAGTGCCGTGGCGTCAGCCTCGCTCACAGCAACCTCAAACTCCTGGGCTCGAGCGATCCTTCTGCCTCAGCCTCCCAAGTAGCTGGGACTACAGGCATGAGCCACCATGCCCGGCTAATTTTTTATATATATATCAGTTGGCCAATTAATTTCTTTCTATTTATAGTAGAGACGGGGTCTCGCTCTTGCTCAGGCTGGTTTTGAACTCCTGACCTTGAGCAATCCGCCCGCCTCGGCCTCCCAAGAGCTAGGATTACAGGCGTGAGCCACAGCGCCCGGCCAAAAGATCCATTTTATAATGGCTTAAAATTTGTTTAATATATGGAAAAATGTGCACATTATATTTAATACTTGTACTTATTCCTTTTTACACTTAAAAGCAATCCAGTTTTGGAGGCAAATATTCCCTGAAGGCCTATTCTCCATATTTACCCCAACTGTATTTTTATGTAATTCTGAAACTGAGTTTTACCCATATACTATGATCACAGATTCATTTTCCTGAAGTTTACATTTTTCTCTCATAGTGTATAAGCCTCTTTGAAGGCAAGCATTGTATACTTTTATTGCTTTGGAATTCCCATAGTTACCTTTCAGTAACTAAATAGGGGTGCCTTATCTGTTTATGTGTGTTAAATGAATGTTAAATACCTATTGTATGGTGTTATGTGTAACACATAGGAAAGATAAACACCAGAATATTAATTTGTTATTCTCCAGGTGGCAAATATTGTACGTGATTTTTACTTCCTTTATATTAAATGAAAGAATTGACAAAGACCATTTATTATTTTGTATCAGGAACCCCCCCCAATGTTATTTTATAATAATCTTTGTGCAACAGTTCAGGCTATTGTGCTATGAGGGTCCAAGCTAGGATAGAAGTGATAGGAGTGGAGAGGAGATAGGTAGGAAATGAGGCAGTGTGAACTGAACATTGGTTTGAGTTCTGTCGGGAACAAAGGTACTAAAGTTGATTGGGGTTTTGAGCAGGTGGAGCAGGGTGTCTGTGCCTCTTTTTCATGATGCTGGCTGGCCAGGTTTCTTTCTGACACACACACAGGACTTATGAAACTCCTCTACCGTGTCTGATCAGACCTCTTCAGCTATCTCAGGTGCTTTCTGAACCTAAGTGCTGCCTCCTTTGTTATTAGCAACAAATATTTTTTTGGTTTTTTTTTTTTTTTTTTTTTTGAGACAGAGTCTCGCTTTGTTGTCCAGGCTAGAGTGAGTGCCGTGGCGTCAGCCTCGCTCACAGCAACCTCAAACTCCTGGGCTCGAGCGATCCTTCTGCCTCAGCCTCCCAAGTAGCTGGGACTACAGGCATGAGCCACCATGCCCGGCTAATTTTTATATATATATCAGTTGGCAATTAATTTCTTTCTATTTATAGTAGAGACGGGGTCTCGCTCTTGCTCAGGCTGGTTTTGAACTCCTGACCTTGAGCAATCCGCCCGCCTCGGCCTCCCAAGAGCTAGGATTACAGGCGTGAGCCACCTCGCCCGGCCAGCAACAAATATTTTTAAGTCTTCATTTTGGTTTTTTTTTTTTTTTGTTGTTGTTGTTTTGGCTGCCTCCTTGATATATGGGATGTATAAAATGAAAACAAATATGGTTGATGGATGGGCCTTGATTTCTCCATCCAGTTCTCAGAGAAAGGATCTTTTATCCCCTTAAAATAGTAGGGCATTTTGAAAAATGCCTCAGAATTTTTGTCAGCTATGTTAAGGTAAAATTGACATACAATAAAATTCATTAATTTTAAATGTACAATTTGATGTCATTTAACAAATGTATACACTTGTGTAACTACCACCACAAACAACATATGGGACATTTCCATCACTCCAGACAATGTCCTTATGCTCTTAATGCCCTGATTTGCTTTCCAAATTTTATGTTTTCTAGGTGTGTACAAATGAAATGATATATATATATAGTTTGTACTCTTATGTGTTTGGCTTCTTTCACTTAGTATATTGGAAACACTTTAAAATTCATCCATGTGTTTATCAGTAGTTCCTTGTTGTTGCAGAATGGTAGTGCACTGTATGGATGTATCTATCACAATTTATCTGTTTCCCGGATGATGGATATTTAGGTTCTTTCAGGTTTTGGGCTGTTAAAATTGAAGGTGCTGTGAACATTCTGCGTGTAAGTCTTTGTGTAGACATAAGTTTTCTTTTCTCTTGGATTAATACCAGAGAGTGGAATTGCTGGGTCATATGGTAAATATGTTTAACTTAATGAGAAACTGCCAAACTCTTTTCCAAAACAAGCATTTTGCTTTCTCATCGCAGTATATGAGAATTCCAGTTGCTCCACATCCTTGCCAACACTGTTTGTGATTTTCATTCACTTGCATTTCTCCAATGATGTTGAACTTGTTTTCATGTGCTTTATTTGCCATCTGTATGTTTTTGTTGGCGAAATAAATGTTTATTCATAGATTTTGCTCATTTTTCATTGACTTTGGTCTTAACTGAATTTTACGAGTTCTTTATCCTGTATTGGATATGTATTTTACAAATACATTCTTCCAGTTTGTATTTTGGTTTTTCATTTTCTTAACAATGCCTTTTTAGCATCAAAAGCATAGTACTGATGACAATTTAAGAACATTTACATTACATAGGTTTGATATGGATTCATTAGTTGAAATAATTTTTGATTCATTAGTTGAAATAAATTTTGAAGTTCTTTTCTCATACCCACAAGAAATATACTTATTAAACATTATAAAAAGTGATGAGTAAATAAAATTATATCCTTAAGGTAGAAGATAATGGTAGTAGAACGTCATTTTTTTTTAAAATAATAATTTAAAACTGACATTGGTTAGGGAAGAAGATTTAATGACATTGTTTACTTAATGAGACTACGACAGAATTTATTCTGAAGATTACTTATAAAAAGATACATTATTCTCATGTAGTATTTTGTTGACATTGATTGAATTTTCCATTTTTTAAAGTTATGTAGTACATTTTGCATAAATTATAAATGTAGTGTGTGTGTGATTTAAAAAGAAGGCTTTCCTTTACACCAGAGGGTGCCACTTGTGGTAGTTTGTGAGAAGCCATGGTTGTTAGGCTAAGGCCTATTTTAAGAAATCTAAATATATATGGCACCTATTTCATTTTGAAAATCAGTGCCAACTTTTTAGAACTATTAAAGTGAAAAGTGTCTGGGGGATTGTTCTTGTCTGAGATCAAAATATTGTCTAAAATCTTTTATCTCAATTTTTCTTTTCTTTCATGGGCAAGGTGGCAGCTTTCATTTATAATAGCTCATTGTTTTCAGTGGCTCCTAATATTAGGCCTTTAACAAGTTTCACAAATAATATAGGAATACATTCTCATGGTGAAGGATTTTAAAATATACATATATATGGAATGAGGGGTGAAAATTCTTCATTTGCCTCATCTTGAATTCCCTGTCTCTACTGTCAATTTAGGATGCATCCTCTCAGTCACCTTTCTGTGCATACAGACATACATTTATCATAAATACACATTTTTGTTTGCTGTATACAAGTAGGATTATTTTACCATTTACTTTTTTTTTTTTTAAATTAAGCTCTAAAGTTTTATTTTTATGTTATCCCTAGAGAAACAATTACTCATTTTTATTTTGGTATATAACTTGACTATAAGTTAAGGGTTGGCTTCTTAATACAATCATGTATCTTTAACATTTTTTTTTAAATTGACAGTTTATAAATAATTGTACATATTCATGGGGTACATAGTGATGCTTTGTTACATATAATGTCTGACATATATTAATAGATCAAGCTAATTAGTATATCCATCATCACAAACATTATCATTTCTTTGTGTTGGGAATGTTCAATATCCTCCTAGTTTATTTGAAACTATATATTAATATATTATTAACTGTGGCATGACTTGCTTTTTTAACTTAATAGTTTTGAATGATCTTTTCAAGTCATTTCATGTGGGTATACCTCCTTTTTCAATGAGTCCATGATGATCTATAGTGTGGGTGAACCATAAATTATTTAACTATTCCTTAGGAATTTTAGGTGCCTTTTTCTTTACACTATACAACAAGTAGCTTACTTGTTGACATTCTTATTTATATACACTTTTGTGGACATAGGAAATATTTCTTTAGGATGGATTTATAGAAGGTGAATTGCCGGGTCAGAGAGTAGTATATGGACATTTTAAATTTTGAAATATACTGGCCATTTGCCTTCCAGAAAGGCTTAGAGTGATTTTTTTGAGGAGTGTAGAATTTCTCCTCTTTTCAAAATGATTACTAGGACACTGTTCTCATTTGTACCTTCATTCACCCCCACAGTAAGAAACCTTCTGTTCTATTTTATGCTTCGTGATTTTCTTCTTCTATTCAACGGTTTACTTTCTGGATTTACACCATGTGGCAAGCTCTGTCCTAGGTGCTATGTTGGAGGATAGCCCTTGCCTTCAACAAGTTCTAAACTTATAGATGCTACTCTGTGGTCTTGCCACACCAATAAGAACTGTTATTACACCCTGTTACTATTACTAAGGATTTTTGCAACAGAGACTTGAACTGCTTTTTAGTATATATTATGCCTGTTTTATATAAGTATTTGTAATAGGTATATTTTGTAAAGGTATGTATAGAGTTATAAAGTGTATTGTAAAAAGTGTGGGACACTTATGTGTCAACTTTTTTTTTCTTCAATACAGGAATGGGTAGGACAAGTGGAAATAAGTGCCCTTTCTCTTATGTACAGGTAAACACTGTAATTATATAAGTAAACAAAAATAAAACCAGTGGGAAATTAGCATATTCCATCATATTAAAAGTGTTAAAATACCAAAGCTATTTTATGCATTGATTCTAAAGCATCTTTTCTAAGGTTTTTTTTTTTATATTGCATCAATTAGATTTTGACATTTATATAAGTCAACGTTTAGAAATGTTAATTCTCAAAATACTTTTGGAAAAGGGTACAGAAAATTTTCTAGGCTATGTTTTATAAAATATCACTTATCAAGCTTGTAGAGAAATTATTTCCTCCTTTCTCAGGGCCAGTAGCATTGAATGGCCAGTAGAGTGGAACTAAAGTACCATATTACAGGTCAGGTATCCCTTATCCGAAATGCTCAGGACCAGACATGTTTTTGGATTTTTGGGATGTTTGCATTACACTTACCCAGTTGAGAATCTCTAATCTGAGAGTCTGAAATCCAGAATGCTTTAATGAACATTTCCTTTGAGCATCATGTTGACGCTCAAAAAAGCTTAGGATTTTGGATTTTTGGATTTGGGATGCTCAACCTGTAGAGGAACAGGTGAATATTTTTTCTTTTCAAAATGTCATTTAACTTTCATCTTCATAATTTCTTGTTAGGATTATATGAAGCTATATATACACAAATTTGAAGTTTTATTTTTTAGAAAAGATACTTTGATTATAGGTATTTTGTAACTTAGCTGTTTCATCATTGTCATTTGTTTATTGCTGTATTTCTAGTATTTAGAGCATTGCTGGACACATATTATTAGGCCCTTGATAAATGAATGGATAATTAAATTTAAATTCTGAAGTATAAGAAGTAATTTCTAAATGTTATTTTTTTTTAGGAAAGATTTTATAATTTATCGGGAACCAAATGTTTCTCCTTCACAAGTAACTGAAAATAATTTTCCTGAAAAGGTAAGAATTTTTCAAAATGTTTGTTAAGGGTTTAAGTAAAAGAACCATTCAGTTGCTACCTTGACCTCCTAAGCTATAATTTTAAGTGACTTTGTAAAATATTTCTTTCTCAGGTTATTGTACTCTGAGTTTTTAAAAGTTCTTATTAATCATTATGTAGTCATCATTTTGTATTTTTTGGCCCCCACAAATCACTGTGTTGAACCCTTTTATAACATTTCAGTACAGACACTAAATTATGATGACACACTAATGTATATGAGGAACTAAACTATTGCTGTTTTTTGTCAATATAAACAAATAGTAAAATAACTTGTGAAAATAGATTCTGCCGTTGCATCTGGGAATACTTTGGTAAACATATTTCCTATTGTAAAGATAATTTTACTGGCAAGGGTGTTATATTATCTGGTCATAAAGCAGAAACAACTGAAAAATTTTCTGTAGGCTACAAAGAAAGAATAACTGATTGAGTATAAGAGAATTTTGTCTTAATTAGCTGTTTTGGAATCATTAGGACAAGTTGAAGTGACTTGTGTGTCACCATGCTAACAGTGGTGAGGAGGAGAGGAGAATTGAGTGAAATACTATCATGATAAGAACTTGGGGGATTCCAAGGCACTTTACCCTAGACCTGGCCTTTCCAGTACAATTTTTGAAATATGACATAGTCTAAACAAAATGTTGTGTATTTCTCTTTGTGTACGTAATTCATCTTTTAAAAAGTTCTTAGAACAGTAAAGAAGCAGAAGAAATTTCTTTGATTTTTGTCTCTTAGAGGTTAGCATTAATAAGATTTTGGAATATTTTCTTATAGTCTTTTAACTTTCTTGTTCTTTAAGTCATTGAAATTATATTGTTTTCATATATTGTGTCTGTTTTTTGTGATCCTATAAACATTTCCACAGATCATTAAGAACTGTTTTTGATTTAATGGATGTATAGTATTTTAGCATATGGATGTGCCATAGTATTGGAGCTTTAAGTTCCTTCTCTTAAAATATTTGCTTTCTATTTGGACATTAATATTTCAGAAGCATTGGAGATGTTCTGTTGTTTGGTAAATGTCACATATTAATATATGAGGGTGTGAAATGTGTCTTTTGTTGTGTTTAAAAATGTATCTTTTATTTTTCCCTTTTAGGTATTACTGTGTTTTTCAAATGGAAATCATTATGATATTGTCTATCCCATAAAGTATAAAGATAGCTCTTCTGTGTGTCAGTGTAAGTATCACTTTGTGTTTATATAGGAAATTATATTCCTAAACTATTCAGCCTTAATGCAGACAAATCAGAGCCAGTATATTCTGTTTTGTTGTAATACAAAAGATATTTCTGAGAACCTTAGGTTACCAAGAATATTAATATTATAACTTATTTCAGTAGGAAAAACGGGAGCTAATGGCTAGAATTTGACTTGTAAATGCCAAGTTTTTTTGGTGTGGTAATTTCAATAATAAATATTTATATGCATTTTTAAAGCTTTTGATGTATAGCTTGAAAATCCAAATGACTGAGCAAACCAAGCATTTGATTATCTTTGGCTCTAGGGCAGGGTTTTAAACTTTGGCACTATTGACATCTTGAGCGAGATAATTCTTTGTTTTGGATACTCTCCTGTTGTGCACTGCAGCATGTTTAGTAGCATCCCTACCCTCTACACTCTCTCTCGCCCCCATTGTGACAATCAAAACTAGATTTTGCCAAATGTTTTCTAGGGATGTGAATTTCCTCTTCTACATCCTCCATTGAATAATTACTGTTCTAGAAGAGCAATGGCCCTTCCTACTGTTATCTGTTATATTTTGTCATCTGTCCTGACAAAGCACAAATCACTCATACAAGTAGTGGTGCTGGGCAAGTAACAGCTTTTTCCTCTGTTCTTCAGCTAGTAGTGGGGACCTCTGCATGTGTGTGTCTAAAACATAAATAAATAAATAAAAATTAAGCCAGTGGTAACCAGTAAAGATAGATAAAATGTGTGCAATATAGAAAAAAAATGGATCCATTTTGAGATGTGAAATTCTTGCTGTCTGTATCCTGGACCTTGTCTTCCCCCTCCCCTAGCTAGTCAAAATCTAGACATTCCGTTTTGGGAAGGGTAGCTCCTGGCGCCTGCCTTTCCTTTACTTCTAAGTGCCTGTGGTTCGGGTGATGTCAGGAGTGTGTCTCCTGTTAAGCGAATCTGGAAATAAAATGGTCCATGAAAAAACAAGGTCTCTTTGGGAACTCTTTTAGAGGGTGAGCACCCATTGTTGATGAATTCTTAGGTACATTTATTTTCTTAAAGCTCACTGTGATAAGTAAAACCGAATTTTTGTTAAAAGTATATTTCCCTGTTTTAGGACTAGAGTTTTTTTTGGTTTTTTTGTGTTTTTTTAAGGCAACTAAGTCATCCAAATAAGCGGTTGTTTCCTTTCAGTGGCTCTGCTTAGAATATATTTTATAACAGTTTCTCTTCAGTTCCTTATGTAAAATTAAAATCTGGAGGTAGGTTATATAGTCAAATGTCCTTTTGTTTCATAGAAACCTGAGGAGAAGTGACTTGTCCAAGGTTACATTTAGTAGGAAAGCGAAGATTAGCATCCAAGTCTTCTCAGTGGTCAGCTAGTATACTCTACTATACTGTATTTATCTTTCTAGCAGCATTAATGTTTCTTAATGTTTTCCATCCAAGCCTTTTAAGGTTGGGCTTGCTGTATGACACCTGTAAGTCTCAGTTTCCATGTATGTACAGCCAGAGTAATACTTTATTGTGCAGGGAATAAATATGAGGGTATATTAAGGCTTAGCACAGTGTGTGGAATGTAGTAATTTCTCGGTATGCATGTTTTAGTTTTTCCTATCTCTGTACTTGTTTCACAACTGTGATACATTTTTGTGTTTTTAGTCTTAAAAATGGCAGTGTCTTTTTTACAGTGGTTTTAAAATAACTGCACAGGCAGAAATTCTATTTGCTCTCTAGGTAACTTTCTGATTAAATTGTGTTATTGACCATAAGATGTTGCAGATATCTAGTTAGGATTTTAGAAGCCTGAACAATAGGCGGTCACATTTCTATGCTCAGCTCCTGTTTTTTTAAAAAATGCTTGTAGTTAATGTTGCATAAAAATCTGTCATTAATTGCAGCTCTCCTTTATGAATTGCTGTATGAGAAGGTGTTTAAAACTGATGTTAGTAAAATCGTGATGGGACTGGACACCTCTGAAGTAGCTGATGAAGACAACAGTGAAATATCAGATTCAGAGGATGACAGTTGCAAGTAAGAATGAAATCCTAAAATATCTTTCTAATGCCATACAAAGAAACATTTCAGTAAATGTCTTTGCACAACACACACTGAGGTGTTATGGTATTCATAAAATATAACAATCTACACAAGTTTCTTTATCCCTGCCACTAATTTTGCCTAATTTTTATGATGGGACTATTTCTTTTGAAAGTTGATGTTTTTGATAAGAATTTGTATATGTGATATGGATGCATACCCGTAGAATAGATTTGATCCTACTTATATATGTGTTTATTGTAAATTTTAAAGTTAACCTGTTAGTTGTTTACATACTTAGTGATGAAAACTATGGGTGTTTTGATTTCCTTCACTTTGTTTTATTGTTTTCTTTCTTAGATAGTGCTTCCTCTTTTTAGACAATGAAAGTCCCAATAGTTTTAACTATGTGAAGAACTCTGGGTAGTGTCTCTGTGTAGATTGTGAGTAAACACCTTTTAACAAAGAATCTCTGAGGCTTAATTTTTCTTTTTCAGTAAGACTTAAAGGGTAATGGTTAAGAGGTTGGGCTCTGATTTCAATTCTGACTTCCTGCTCACTAGACTTGGGGCAAGTTATATAAATTCTCTAAGAAGGCTAAATTCTATAGCTATAAAATGAGGATATATCAGTATTTCCACAAAAGGGAGAATTGGTGAGAATTAAATGAGATAGCATATAAAGTGCATAGCCTAGTTCCTAGGTATAGCATCCAAACATATTGTCAGTAATATTAAGCTTACCTTTTATAAGAACCAACTTTATTCCCATTGAAGCTAAAAGTCTATTCTGTTTGTATGAGAGTATAAAGGTATCTTACTTGGTGTGTTACACGTTGAGAAGCTAGAGATAGAAATGGAGCTTAAACCTTCGGATATCTAATTCTTTATTATAAAAATACTTAAAAAATATATATGGTTTTCTCTTTATGTGTAATTCCAGGAATTTGTTGAATTAAAATTTGCTGATCCTAATTAAAAATTGACTACCATTTTTTCCTAACTTGAATCAGTGTCTGCTGTAATAAATCTCATTCTAAAATAGACTAATTAACTTTGCACAGATAGAAATTTTGGTCCATGTCCCTTTTCTCTCCAGGCACCTGTGTGATTAAGGGATGTCATTGACCATGGGGAAGTTGGGGGAAAGGATAAGCTTGTTATAACCTATTACCTATAATTGGGGTGGGGGCACTTCTAGGACATGCCCTTTGGATGCTGCGGTTGTTAATAGTATCGGAAACAATTGAGCCTGGGATGGCAGTTGGCAGGTGAAGTGTAGAGTGGAGTTTAGTAAGCTGGAGAAGTTTACCAGGGAAGGTGAAGCAAGTGTTTAAGAAGATGTGCTCATTATTGTGTTCAGTTTCTATTGCTATACTGTACAATGGTAGCCCTAGGAATATGGATTACCTTTTCATTCCATTATTAAAATTTTGTTTTACTTGGTCATGTCTGATTTAGGGAGGTCAAGGCTTCTGTTACGGAAGAAGAATGCTGTATTACCATGGCAAGATAGATAGACATAGTGTGGTAAGGAGGAAGGAAGACCAAAGATGTGCTGTACTTGTGTGCCTGGATTCTTTTCACATTCATAGTTGTTAGTCCAGAAGTACTGGAAATGAGAATGATTTTCTAATCTAGACTCTAGACACTTGAGGTCTGTTAAATATTGCTGTATTTAAGGATGTAGACTTGCATATTGTACTGAAAACTAGAAATTGATTTATTAAGGAGCAATTTGGGATGGAAGAGTACATGTAGGTGCAATTCAGAGCCTCTCTCCCCTCCACCTGTTGTTACTCTGTTCCAGCCACACCGCTCACGTCGGGGTCTTTGCATGTGCTTTTCCTTCTGCCTAGAATACTAAATAGCCACATACGGTTTGCTGTCTCATTATCTTTCTTTTTTCAAAAAGATATCTTAGCAAGGCCTTTTCTTCATCCTACTTTTTGTCATTTGAGTCTACATCTTAACATTCACTTTTTCCTACGGTTTTTCCTCATAGCATTTACTAGCATTTAACATACTGGTTACTTGTTTAGCTGGTGTTTACTCTCAGTAGATTGGACATTTCATCTGGGCAGAGTTTTTGTCTGTTTGGCTCACTGCTAGACCCCAGGAGCTAATAATACAGTTGTTCCTTGGTATATTAATATGAGGGGGATTGTTTAGGACCTCCACGTATACCAAAATCTACACATACTTAAGACCTGTAGTTGGCCCTGCTGGAACCCATGTAAACAAAAATACCCGCACTCTAAATGTGTGAGTTTTGTATCTCATGAATACTGTGTTTTCAATCTGGTTTTGGTTCAAAAAAATCGAGAGTATAAGTAGACTCTTTCAGTTTAAACTCATGTTGTTCAAGGGTCAATGATATATAGTCCCTGGCAGATAGGCACTCAAATATTTATTGAATAAATGAATGTAAACTGTAGGTATGTATGCTACAGTGAATTCAAAGGGCTCATGATGGTTTTCTGTTGTGTTGAAGAGTATTTGATGTAGAATATTCTTAATAAAAGAATTGGTTGTTGAATCCTAGATAGATACTTTTGTTGTAATCCACCTATATATTTAAAGGGAATTTTTATTTGGAATATTTTGTAAATTATTCTACATACCCAGATTTTGCAGTTTATTTCTCTTAGTGTTTTCTTGTTGATTACTGAGCCCGTAAGAATTACCAGTAGGTCTTTCACTTCTATCTTGTATGTATATACATATACATACATTTATACTTTTATTTAGATGTATATTGAAACTTGTGAGAGCTTTTTGTAGTATAGCTCTGACTTGTGATTTTTAGATGAGGTGAGAAGTTAATTACATGCAAATATATCTTTCTGCTCCTAATTATGGTTATATTTCTTCCTTTATAGGAGTAAAACTACCACTGCTAATGATGTGAATGGATTTAAACCTTTGTCAGGAGATGAGGTATTTTTCTTTTAAACAGTTTTAACTAGTTCTTCAATATAAGAAAGCACATGAATTTAGTCTTAATTTTTTTCTTTTTTCTGGTACATTTCAGCAGAGTCAGGGTCATCCACTAGTAAGAAATTGGTGACTTCCTAATTTTTTGAAGTTTCTTCATTTGATTTTACAATTACATGTATCTCAAACAAAAATGTTTTAAAAGCATTTCTGTGTTGATTGGACTTTCTGACTTTGTTTGTTTAGTACCCAAAGAACAATGGGAACTCTCCTAGCCTTCCTTTGTCTAGAAAAGTTCTTAAGTCACTCAATCCAGCAATCTATAGAAACGTGGAATATGAAATATGGCTGAAGTCTAAACAAGGTGAGTTAAAAATATGCATTTTTTCATGTTTGCTTTGGACCAGTTGAAAATCAAGTCAGCTTTATATTGATTTTTTTTTTAACAGCTCAACAAAAACGTGATTATTCCATTGCTGCTGGCTTACAATATGAAGTTGGAGATAAGTGTCAAGTAAGTGATTTCTATAAAAGATGAAAAGATTTTCCTTGAAATCTTGCTTTTTCTAATAGAAATCAGGCAAACAGGTGAGGTTTGAATGTGTTGTTAATTTGGAATTTCAGAATATATTTATCGTGTACATTTTAATAGTTAGCAAGTATTTAGCTTTTTGACTTATTTGAATACATTGCTAAAATTGTTATGTCTAAAACCATGGCATTTTAAGGACATATAGTGGGGATAGTCTCTTCGATAAATGGTGCTGGGAAAACTGGATATCTATGTGCAGAAGAATGAAACTTAGAACCTTTTCTCTTGCCAAAGACAAAAATCAAATTAAATGGATTAAAAACTTAAATAAATCTAAGACCTGAAACTATGAAGTTATTGAAAGAACATTGGGAAATAGGTCTGGGCAAGGACTTCTTGAGTGATACCCCCAAAGCACAGGCAACCAAAGTAAAATTGGATAAATGGGATTACGTCAAGCTAAAAAGCTTCTGCACAGCGAAGGAAACTATCAACAAAGGGAAGAGACAACCCACAGAATGGGAGAAAATATTTGCAAACCACCCATCTGACACGGGATTAATAACTAGTTATATATAAGGGGTTCCAACAACTTGGTAGAAAAAATCAAATAATCCAATTAAAAATGGGCAAGGGATCTGAATAGACATTTCTCAAAAGGAGACATACAAATGGCCAATAGGTATATGAAAAAATATTCAGCATCATTAGTCTTCAGAGAAGTGCATATTGAAACTACAATGAGATATCATGTCACCTCAGTTAAAATGGCTTTTATCAAAAAGGCAGTAATGAGTGCTGGTGAGGATGTGGTGCTTGTACACTGTTGGTGGGAATGTAATTAGTGCAGCCACTATGGAGAACAGTATGAAGGTTCCTCAAAAAACTAAAAATGGAGCTACCATATGACCCAGCAATCCTGCTGGGTATATAGCCAAAGGATGGGAATACAGTATATTGGAAAGATACCTACACTCCATATTTTTTGCAGCACTATTCACAGTAGCCAAGATACAGAATCAACTTAAGTATCCATCAGTGGGTTAATGAATAAAGAAATTGTACATATACACAATGGAACATTGTATAGCTACAAAAAAGAATGAAATCCTGCCAATTGCAACATGAATGGAACTGTAGAACATTATGTTAAGTAAAATAAGCCAAACACAGACAAATCTCACATTTTCTCACTCATAAGTGGGAGCTAAATATTAAGAACAGTTCATCTCTTGGGGTCAGCAGAGTAGAATGACAGTTACCAGAGGCTGAGAAAGGTAGCGAGGAAGGGCGGGGATAAAGTGGGGATGGTTAATGGGAGCACAAATATAGATAGATGGAATGAACAATATTTGATAGCACAACAAAGTGACTATAATCAACAGTAAGTTAGGGCATACTTTAAAATACCTAAAAGAATGGAATTGGAATGTTCCTAACACAAAGAAATGTTTAATACTTGAGAGATGGATACCGTAATTACTCTGATTGATTAATTCACACTGTATGCCTATATCAAAACATTACATGTACCCTATAAAGATACTTAATATACAGCTATTATGTACTACTAATAAAAAATAACAAATTAAGAAGGCCAGGCACTTAATCCTAGCCCTCTGGGAGGCCGAAGAGGGAGGATATCTCTTGAGGTCAGGAGTTCAAGACCAGCCCTAGCAAGAATGAGACCCCATCTCTATTAAAAACAGAAAAATTAGTCACGTGCAGTGTCATGCTTGTAGTCCCAGCTACAACTGCCTAGGTTGAGGCAGGAGGATGGCTTGAGCCCAGGAGTTTGAAGTTGCAGTGATCTATGATGATGATGTTACTGTACTCTAGCTGGGGCTACAGAGTGAGACTGTCTCAAAAAAAAAAAGAAAGAAAACCATAGCATCCCATCACATTTTAGATATTTAAGTGTTTTCGTCAAATTGGCAAGTAATTTATTAAAATTGACTTTATAGATCAGTTTGTTTCTGAAAGTCAATCTGAAAGATTTTGATATATAGATAATTTTTTTTTTCCTTTGATACAGAGTCTCGCTCTGTGCCTGGGTTAGAGTGCCATGGCGTTAGCCTAGAGCTCACAGCAACCTCGAACTCCTGGGCTTAAGCAATCCTCTTGCCTCAGTCTCCGAGTAGCTGGGACTACGGGCATGTGCCACCATGCCCGGCTAATTATTTCTATGTATTTTTACTTGGCCAATTAATTTCTTTCTATTTTTAGTAGAGACAGGGTCTTGCTCTTGCTCAGGCTGGTCTTGAACTCCTAACCTAGTGATCCGCCCGCCTCGGCCTCCCAGAGTGCTAGGATTAGAGGTGTGAGCCACCACGCCTAGCAGATAATGTTTTATTATTGAACTGAGGAAGGAAAGTGAGCCATATAAGAAGTGTTACCTTGAATAAGGTACTGCCCTTGACTTGAGTAGCTGACTTAAGTAGTCATTGATGGGCTTTACCTTATGAACGTTTAATAGTTCTTATTCTGGGGTATTTGAAAGGTAAGGAAGAAGACGATCAGATTCATTCACGTGCTTCCTTTACAGGATTGTCAGAAATCTGCTCTACAGTTGTAGAACAGAGTTGTGGTGGCTTTTAATATTAATACATTGATTTGGAAAACTTGAAAGAGAACAGAAGATTAAATCCAGGGCTTAGAGACCTCTCCTCTCAACAGAGAAGATTACTTATGCTGTATCACTAAAATTGTGTTATTTGTTATTTTAAATCAAGCATATTTTCTTTGAAGTTGAAATTGCTTTGGTAAAGTAGATGCTTTTTATAAAGTAGGGTAAAGCAGATACTTGTTTTAATTTTTTTCCTTTTCAGAGTATTTTATTTATTTCTACTACTTGACCATTTTATTTGGATAAAATCTAATTGAAATCTTTTTTTTAAATTGAAATCTTAAACTGAGATGACTCACAGGTGACTTTTGTTTACTAAAAGTGTGTAAGATGTTTAAATTTCTGATAAAAATTAAGTTCAGAAAAGTCTTTTTAATGTGAAACTTTTGAAGAGAGGAAGGAAAAGTATCCTGTTGTGAATGATGAAGAATGAAATATCAGCTTGAGGACTTTGATCTATAGTAGTGCCCTGTATATTTTACTTCTGGTGCAGTGATTGGCAAGTTCACAATTCAATTTGTGCAGTTTGACTATAGGAAGAAACCTTAAGGCTTACTCTGTCATGATCTATAATTGGATAGTGCTAATTGCACAGTTGATGGATTTATTTTTAGGGTGAGAAAAAGATCATAGTTATATATTTTTAATATTAGAAAAATGGACAGATAATAGTAATTATAATAATTGCTCTCCTTTGTTGAATGGTTGCTTGTGTGCAAGTTGATGTCCTTTGTGTGTGTCATGTGCACCCTTATTCCACCTCCCTGGGTTCAGTCATGTAGGTACTATTAATAGCTCCATTTTGCATATGAGGAAACTGAAGTGAGATAAGTTGCTTGCCCAAGGTCATATTGCTGGTAGGTAGAAAAGCTGGGCATGGAAGCCTGGGTGTGTGGGGCCCTGCCTTCTGAACCAGGACTTGCAGCTTCTCTTGTTTGGAGCCTTAATATTGTGTTCCTTTTTCTTCTGGAACTATTTAGAAAAAACAATTCAGAAAAATTATGGAAGGGTAAAGAGGAAAAATTTTTCTTTCTTTTAGGTAGAGGTATGGAGGTCTTTGAGGTTAGGGAGATGGATTGATTGCATTGTTCACCCTTTTGAACTTATTTTGTCTTTACCGATAAACATTTGTTTCTCTTTGATTGAAAACAAAATTAAAATTTAAAACCGATCATTAATGCAACGGGAGCAGGTGACTGATTTTTATTTCTGGAATTGTTCAACAGGTTAGGTCAGATCACAATGGAAAATTTTCTAATGCCGACATTCAAGGAGTTCATTCTGAGAATGGACCAGTTTTGGTTGAAGAACTGGGAAAGAAGTATGTACTACTTTTCAGCTAAGGCATTTATTGCTTCTTCCATTTAGCGTAATGTAATCATGAATGTTGTTAAATGGCCCTATGTATTTGCAAATTCAGTGAAAGGTATTGCACATGTGTAGAAAGTATATTTGTTCAGATCTTTAAAAAGTATTAAATGTGCACATATAATATTTTGCATATTAGCAAATTTTTGAACTCCTGACCACAAGCAATCCACCCACCTTGGCCTCCCAGAATGCTAGGATTACAGGCGTGAGCCACCACGCCTGGCCGCAAATTTTAAATAAAGAGTACTTATTGCTTACTGTATAAAATGTGCCATTCTTCACAATTTGGGAAAGCCTAGATTGTAAAGTGGGAGCATTGGAGAACAGGGGTTCATTTCTAATTTTATTCAGTGCTGCATTGCATATAGTTAGTATTCAGTAAATGTTACATGGAGTAGTAAAATATTGTTAACTTGTTATTATGCAGTGTTATTTTAGAGCACCTTTTGTTTCAGTTGCTGCTGCCTTTATTAAAGAAAAAAGATAATAAATTACTCCTTAAACTTTATTGTGGAAAATTTTTTATTATAAACATACACACATGTACCAGAGGATAGTATAGTGAACCCCAATGTAACCAACACCTGTTTTCATCAGCTCACAGCATTTAGAAATTTTTTTGGATCTGTTCTCCCTAATACTATTTAAAAATGGGAATGAAATTGGAACATTTTAAAGCAAATTCAGAAATCACACCATTTCTCCAGTTGATATTTGATATGTGTCTCTGTCAGAATAAGGACCTCCCTTCCCACCTTAACTACAGACCATTATATCCAACAGCATAACATTCATTCCTTATTTAATCTTTTGCTTAGATTGTGATTAACGCCTTTAGTCTTTTGTTTTTTTAAGTTGGAAAATATGCTTTTAAATTATGTCATTTTATTTGATTAGAATTAGTTCTGAGTAGCTAAATGCTTTTTGTACTTAAATTCTAATTTGTTTTTAATGTAAGAATTAAAATAGGAAATTCTTATATAAGTTGAAAATAAAATATACATAATATTTGTCAAGTGTTCTTACTAGGAGTATTTTAAGTTATTACGAGTTTTTTTCTTCCTTTTGAAGACACACATCAAAGAATCTCAAAGCATCTCCCCCAGAAAGCTGGAACACAGTGTCAGGGAAGAAGATAAAGAAACCTTCCACTTCTGGTCAAAATTTCCATTCTGGTAAGAGCACATCAAGTTACCATTTCTTTGGGATAGGGTTGGTAGTTTTGGAGATTGTTTATAATAGGAAAATTATGAGGTATTTTTGGGTTCTTGTCACAGACATGGATTACAGAGGGCCAAAGAATCCAAGCAAGTCAGTAAAAGCCCCATCAGCACTACCTCCTCGACTACAGCATCCTTCGGGAGTAAGACAACATGCATTCTCTGGTCATTCTTCAGGGTCACAGTCTCAGAAATCCTCCAGTGAGCACAAAAATCTTAGCAGGACACCCTCACAGAACATAAGGTAACCTTCCTGAATGCAAGAGAAGTGGAAAGCAAGTGAGAGGCATTTGCTGTATTTGCCACATAACATACATTTAAATTGTTACAACTTCTTGTTCATATACTTGTTTAGTCTAGTATTGAAAGTATTATTGATGAAACACCATGTGAGGATTACAGTTCTTTTGAATCCTCTTTAAACAAAGCAAGGTAATATTTATTACAGGGAATGAGACCTTTATTTTTAAATGGCTTTTTCAAATGATTTGGGAAATTTTATCCTAGCCAAATCTTAATGTGACACTTAATAGTTTCTGGTGGCTTGTAATATGGTAAATACTGGATTCTGAATTGTATTCCTAATTCCTTGGAAGGTGAGAGGATGTTCCTGTTTGTACAGGATCTTAAACTGACCAAAATTATTGGTTTACTTTCTTCTGATAAGTTTTGATCGTGGTAATGGCTTTAATACTGAATGGGGCTATATGTTTTAGGTCTGTATAATTATGATTATCAGCGTTCTGACTGAATATCTAGAACAGATGAACCTAAGGATCATAATTTTCCTGTGTGATGTGGATTTTAATTTTTCCCTAGTCTACTGTTTCTGCTTAGTAGTTTATAGTCCTTTGGAGGAGATTTATTTGAGAAGGTGTGTCCAAAGTTGAGACTGTCCTCTTCATGCAAACGTAGCCATGACTCCTGTGGGTGCTGGAGCCTTCCTAGTTTACTGTGACCAATGCCTTCTCCACCCAAGTGCTCCCTCCTCAATTGCCTAAGGAGCTGTAGCATCAGCTTATATGTGCACCAAGTGCTCTGGTTTTTAGGTCCTTGATTTCTGGCATTTGGGCATACCCTTTCTTTTGGGAATGCACTTATTAACATTTTTTGTCATTAAAGATGTTTTTTATAGCATCTTCCAGACAGAGCTATAGGTTCTTTGACTGACATTTATCAATTTTGTATTTGTTTCCTGGGGCTGATGTAACAAAGTACCACTAACTGGTCAGCTTAAAACAACGGAAATTTATTCTCTTACCGTTGAAATCAAGTTGTTGCCAGGGCTGTGCTCCCTGAAGGCCCAGGGGAGAGAGTCTTTTTCATGCCTCTCTCCTACTTCTAGGATAGCCTACAGTCCTTGGAGTTCCTTGACTTGTAGGTGCAATCACTTTAATCTCTGCTTCCATCATCACACAGCATTCTCCCCACATGTCTGTGTCTCCTCTTTTATTATAAGGACACTAGTCATACTGGGTTTGGGGCCTACCTAAGACTGCATCTTAACTTGATTATGTCTGAAAAGACGCTGTTTCTGTAAAAGGTCACATGCATAGGTACCAGCGGTTAGGTACATGAACATTATCTTTTTGGGAGATATAATTCAATCCATAACAAATACTAATACTTCTAATTCATTACATTTTTGTCTGTTAAAAATTATTTAGGATAGGAAATTAATTCCTATTGTTCAAAATCCAAAACAGAAGCTTATCTATTTTGTGTAAAATCTCCTTCGTTTCCATATTTTCCCATTGATTTAGTTTCCTTTTGCAGAGGCATCCAGTATTATCAGACCTTTGTGTATCCTTGCGGGATCCTTTTTACATGTATAAGAAATACATTTATATTCATAACCATTTTTTCAGAAGTTCTAAGGAGAACAAATGATTAAAAATCAGTTGTAAGACATACATTATCTGTCAAGATTGCTCATTGCAAACACATCCCTGAGAAATGCCCTGGACAAAGAGCGATCAGAGCCTTGCATTCTTGGCACACCCAGAACATTGTGCAGGGACACTTGGGCCCATGGTAGGTTACCTCTCCCAAACAGAATTCGTGCCACTAATCTGCTAGTTGTGGCTGAAGTTTGTTTGGACATTGATCAAACTCCACTAGTACTTGGTGGTAACTTATCCAATATAGGGAAAGTGTGTACGAGATTAAGTTATTTTAAATATTAACCTTGGAAACCTAAAAATGTAAAGTAACTATAGGAAGGTCATAGACAGAAATGAGTTGTTTCTTTAATAAAATTCTCATTTTTTGATAGAATAGAAAAGCAGCATTTTTTTTTCCTTGACACAAGGATATTCTCTGGTAACTTATAAAATTGCTAATTTACATATACTTGTTTATCACAAACTAACTTTATATCTCTTGTGTTTCTGGTGTTGACTCCAATCTCCTGTGAATTGAGAGAATGCTCAGATGTTTCATATCAATAGTACTTTTAATTCAGTGCTATAGAGAAGTATTATCTTTGTCTTATTGGAATCTTTATGTGTGTTAGCTATATATTGCTATGTAAAAACGCATGATGGTATGTGACAAGTCTGTGGGTTAGAGAGTTTGACATTGTGACTGATCGCATAGGAACTTTGTGGTATTTGCAGTTAGCCATAGGTTAGTGTGCCTTTGCCACTAAATGTGAGGGTGAATTTTACTAGTATATTAAAACTAATTTAGAAACTGCTGATTATTGAATATCTAAAGTAAGATTTTAAAGAAACCAAGTTGAGGTTTAGAATTTTATAGCTAACAATCCAATTAATTAAAGCCCATTAAAGTTATTTCTAATGTTTTACACAATAGTTTTAAATTTTTCAAGTTATAGAGTAAAATAGAACCCACTTGCTGGGTATGAGACCTTCATGACTTCTCACTTTTTCATTTTCCTTATTGATATTTTCTTCTCCTTTGGAGAAAACAAAATATCACCAAAAAATAAATAAATAAACCCAAGCAGAGTTGCCATCTATGTTTTCATTAATGTGGATGTGCAAGAAATAATATTACTAAACATCTCTCTTCCAGCTAGGTGAAAATAGAAAGGGGTTGGTTTTCTCTGCGTGGTAGGTGAGGATAAGATGAAAACCAACAGTAGTGGTAATTTTTTTGGATGGTAGGAGACAGTGGTAAGGTGGTGTTAATTTACCAGACTCCTAATGCTTGCTGAGTCCTCTTTGGCATCTTTTACCACTGGGGTTTGAGAAGGACTGGTCTAAGATTTTGAGGGTCCAGATTTGTGGCCCAGTTTTTTTCACCAGTACCTTCAGGATTGACATCTGTTCTGTTGGAATTAGAGTGTGAGATTGTAAGTGGGACTATCCGAGGACATGAAATGGCTATTCTTTATTTCAGAGGTAAAAAAAAAATCTGAATCATAGCGAACCTCCCATTCTTTTTAGGAGGATGATGTCGCTGTACTGTGACAAACAATATATGTTTCCTTATAGGTTTTGGATTTCCATTTCCTACTATTATGAAACTGTTAGATGTAATAGAAATAGTATTCATATTGCCTTTAATAGTTATAAACCATGTAAAAACATTAGGGTTGCATTATAGACTGCCAAACTCTACTCATGAATTTCTTGTCATTTTTCTTTGACCAAAGTTATATTGAAGTGACAGCAGTCTTATGTATACAGTTAGTTTTCATCCTGGCACATTTTAGTTTTTCTTTTTTCAGCTGTCTCCTTGGTGGTATCATCAACAATTGGAGGATGGTCTTGGTGTCTCATTGACTATTACTCTTCACTTAGAACAGAAAATTAGAATGCTTTTGAGACCTAAACTAATAACTTTCCCTTTCTTGTAAGAGTGAATTCTTACGGAAGTATTGGAATATGGTATAAGAAATATATACAGTGCTTAACATTTCTTCCCTCATGAAAAGGAAAAAAAAAATCATCAATTATTTCTGTATCACTTGGAATAAGTTTGTTTTTTCTTGACTTAAGGTAGCCTTATGCTACAGGACCTTCCATTTGCTAAAAATTTATTAACCAGTCACCAAAAGTTCTAAAATGTCACAGTGTAGCTAAATTAGTCAAATATTTGTATTGCAAAATAGATCATTTTATCTTAGGAACTCAATACCTTTTGTCTTTCTTTTTCTGACAAGAATGTTTTATTTGACAGAAAACCTGATCGTGAGAGAGTTGAGGATTTTGATCACATGAGTCGAGAATCTAACTATTTCGGCCTTTCCCCAGAAGAGCGCAGAGAGAAGCAAGCTATAGAAGAATCTCGTTTACTCTATGAGATTCAGAACAGAGATGAACAGGCTTTCCCAGCCCTTTCCGTATGTATAAAAAGAGATTTAAAGAGTTGTTATTTAGAAGTCTCTTAATACAATTTCTGTATATAGTAAACCATAGTTTTAATGGTAGACTAATAATTTTTAAACTGAACCTTAAAGATGGTATAGTTCTCCCTTCTCACACTCACATTTTTCATGAGGAATAGGAGGTCCAGAGATAACTACTAAAAAGTTGGTGACAGAGTTTAGGCAATTATATTGGTTTGCTCACTTGTAGTATTTAGTGGTTTTTTTTTGAACCAAAATATGTTTAATTTGCTAGCAAAGTAATATGCAGGATCACAATTTGGTTAACCCATTATAAGATGCATCTATGAAATCAGGAACCCTTTTCACTACTTATTGAACTGTCTGATACATAGGATCTGATACATAGAACTGTCTTTCAGAGTGTTCGCTGTTAGAGGTGGTAGCACGTGTAATCTTATGGCTCTGTCCTTGCTCCCTGGCTCAGACACAGGGCTGTGATGGATGCTTCTCTGATGAAAGAAATGTTCTTTACCTTCAGGTTTTTTAACTCTTTGGGGGGAGTCAGAAGGGAAAGCTGTTCTCATGTACAATGAAGTGTGTGCTCTGGGAGGTGGGTTCATTGGTGGCACAGGTGAGGCATAACTATTTCATTCTTATGATTGGGAGCCCTGTGCTTATGGTCTCTATTAAGTCTTTTTAAGTTGGACCCAAATGACCTTTGATCCAGAAAGGTGGTTGGACACTTTTTCTTAACAGTGGATTAAACAAACAAAATGGAATGTAGGGGAGACTACCCAGTGTACCAGTATAAAACATTAAAGGCCCTCACATTCAGTTCTGTCTATGGTCTCTGTGGAATTCCTTAGATGTTTGAGGCGCTCAGTTGAAAACAGCTCATCTGGAATAGTAGTGCAATCTGGCATAGCGGTTGGAGTTCAGGAATTATTGGAAGAAGTACCCAAATCCATTTGTAAATAGGTATTGTTTGTGTGTTAAGTACATTTATCTCTCATGTCAGGTATGTCATTTTTCCATCATGTTTGTATATAACTACAAATCATTTAAGCTTATACTCATATCTTTTTTTTTTTCAGTTAGTGAATTGTGAAAGTACAATTATATAACGTGGGGACTGATTGTCAATTTTTTTGTTAAAAATGAGGTTTTCATACTCATTATGTTTAGAATAAGGAGTTTGATCCAACATTGGATTTGATAATGACTCATATTTGTCTTCTAGAACACTCCTTCTAGAGAGGGGCTGAGATCCTTCTCAGCTGTGTGAAACATTTATTTGGAGTGCTAGAACACGAACCTAGTACATTCAGTGATAGTTTAGCTTAAAGACTTGACTTATTCATCCATTCCCTTTGTTTCACCAATTAGAAGGCAGGATCTCATGCAGAGCTTAAGTGATTTGCTAGAGTCAGTAGCATTTCAATGATAAGAATCCTAGTGTACTGTATCTGCTAATTTGCACTTAAGTTTTTTCCCCCCACACATGAAGGACTGACTCTACAATGGCTTGTTTAGAAGGTTGGTACAGAAGATGCTATTGTTTGTGCAAAGAATGTAAGTTGCAAGGTGAGGGTTTGGTCAGAGTGGCTTCCTGAAATAGGGATATGAAATCGTCTACTAATTTAGGCTGAAATTTGATTGCCTTATCCTTTTGACTCAGTAATCAGACTATTAATCTAGAGTATATATGCACTCTAGAGCCTATCTTTTGTAGTTTCAGAAGTATAAAAGTAATAGGGCTATGAATTCTGAGATTTTTAGAAATATCTGTAAATTTCATCACAGAGCTTTTGTTCATATATTTGTGGATAAATATTTAACACAAAATATTGGGTTTTGTTCATTTTAAAGAGCTCGTCAGTCAGCCAGTCAGCTTCTCAGAGTAACAACCCAAGCGTCCAGAGAAAGTCATCACATGTAAATGATAGAAAAGGAAGCAGGCGGAGAATGGATACAGAAGAACGTAAAGATAAAGGTAAGTTATTTCACCACTGAAAGCAGGTGCTAGAGATCTGTCTATTTTAAAGTTGTGTATTGGGAAAAGAACACTTTTTAAGTGTTTTAAGTTTATTTAATGTCAGTTTATCTAATGTCACATTTTTGACTGTTGCTGAGGAACACTGATTCAAGCAAAAGCATATAAAACGTTCTAACAACTGCCTTTTTTCATTGACTAAATATGGTTCAAATAGTACTTTAGCTTTCTCTATCTTCATGTTTTGTTCTGTTTTCAAACCTGAGTGGTGGCTGATGCTGCCTTTTTTATTTTGGTCTGTTGTAGACTCTATCCATGGACATACTCACTTGGATAAAAAACCTGAGCCAAGCACATTGGAGGTAAAAGTTTTAAACATTAATTGCCTTTTTTCTTTTTCCTTAACACCATGATAGTACAACAGGAAGAAGTGGAAGGAGAAAGTGGAGATGATTTTAGTGTTTTATAACTATATATTATGGTAGTAGAAAAGTAGGGAAAAGATGATGGAGATTGACAGATCACTCACAAATTATAATCATTTCTTCAAGGTACATGAGGATGCCCTTTCTGATTTGTTGGAACGTGGCTTATGCTCTCCATCAGTCTAGTAGATTGATATTTTTAAGGGAGAAGAGTATAACTGTTTGAAGTTATGCACTCAGTAAAATCTATACCCAGTAGTTTGATAATAAAGATGTACAGGCAAAAGTTAACCTACCCATTGAAGGCCAGATATGATTGGGAAAAATACTCATTGGTGGGAGGATTCTGTCAGATGCAGGTAGGGCGAATTATAAAAGGAAACCATAATTATCCCAGAATGTGAGTCTTTGAAATACAAAATTATGTTTTTTGTTTTTGCTTCCAAAGAATATTAGTGATGATAAATGTGCAAGAGTTTCATCACCATCAAAGTCAAAGAAATTAGAGTGCCCATCTCCCGCAGAACAGGTAAGTACATTGTTGCATTTGATATTGAATGCTCCATTTCCCTGGGTTTTTTTGCTGTGTATATGATTATTTAAAAATTGTCTTCCATTAAACTGGTCCCTGGGGCCAAAAAAGTTGGGGACTGCTTGGCTACCTGGGAGGCTGAGGCAGGAGGATCACTTGAGCGCAGGAGTTTGAGGTTGCAAGAGCTATGATGAGGCCACTGTACTGTAGCCTGGGTGACAGAATGAGACCCTGTCTCAAAAAAAAAAAAAAAAATAGAAAGTGGAAGAATTTATTCAAGCATCACAATTGGGTGCAGTTATGATTTTTCTTAGGCAGCTCATAGTAGGATCAAATTTGTTTGCATATTCTTAACTACTCTGTGTGGGTATTTATTTCTAAGACTAGAAGGACCATTTATACTTCGCTTATAACTATAAAGGCATAAGTATAAAAGGCAGGCAGCTCAAGGTATACATCTGGTGATTAAAAACAGTGTTTAAGCAAAATGAACTCTTGTCTTTTTCTAAACCCCCTTTTCTTGAAGAAGCCAGCAGAACATGTGTCTTTGTCAAGTCCAGCTCCCCTTCTAGTTCCTCCAGAGGTACATCTGACTCCTGCGGTGCCTTCTTTACCAGCCACTGTGCCAGCCTGGCCAAGTGAACCTACAACTTTTGGACCAACAGGTTAGAGAAGAATTTAGAAAATCCAACCAACAAAATCCTTTCAAGTCAGAGACTTCAGATTCTTGAACATGAGCTTGACCTCAGAGCAGGGTTAGGTGTATGGAGTCTCACAGAGCTTTCTATGATTCTTGGCTTTGCTCTGTTTCCAGCATGGGATGGCCAACTTCATTTGGGCAATATTCATCTGAGGTATGTCCTCATAATCCCAGGAGCATGATGTTTGAGCTGGTTATCTCCACTCTGGATGCCCTGGTTGCTCTGCACTAGCCAGCACCACAGTTTGATGCTTTCCCTGTGGGTCAGCTCTTTATGGCCCCCTTTTGACCCCTTTGCCAGGCTCTGTGCCTTACACGTGTTTGCAAGAGCTATGATTAGAAGACATTGACTCAAAGCTTGTTTCCTAGGCTCATTTCCTATGTGTCCAGGAGGGTCCTTGGTTGATATAAAAAGTACTACTTTAGATTGTTTACTCACCATGTTACCAACTGTGTCAGTTATGCAGCATTCTTTTACTTTATAGTTTAATGTAAACTTTTTTGTGTAGAGGGAATTATTTCCATCTTTTTGTTGTTTTTGATTCCTTTCCCTCTCTTTTGTAGGTGTTCCTGCTCAAATTCCTGTTTTGTCAGTGACACAGACTCTGACCACTGGACCCGATTCTGCTGTATCCCAAGCTCATTTAACACCCTCTCCAGTTCCTGTGTCAATACAGGCAGTTAACCAGCCCTTGATGCCTTTGCCTCAGACGTTGAGCCTTTACCAAGACCCACTGTATCCTGGGTTTCCTTATAATGAAAAGGGAGATCGAGCCATTGTACCACCTTATTCACTGTGTCAGACTGGAGAGGACCTGCCTAAAGGTGAGATCCTTCTCCAAGTTCAAATTGATTTATTTATCAAGTACAAACAGGTTTAGTGAGAAATAAAGAGATGTAGAAGTTAGAGGTCTGGTTTTTTTAGTAAGCTGAAGGAAGGACTTGGGAAAGATAGAAGTTTGGCTATTAATCATTCACTTCTTTTTCAGCTTGGTTTTATTAGAAAATGTTTTTTGTATGCTTTAACAGCCACTCTCCCTGTGTCATTTTTTTCATAATCAGCCTTGAAACCATTCTGAATTAAGATCTTAATTATTTGACTAAATATCTAAACATTACTCAGTTTTCTCAACACTGGTCTTATTTTGGAACTATTCAGATTATTTCATCTATGAAAACATGTAGAAGAGTGAATATAATATTATAGTGGCTGTTACTATAGTGCTATATTTAATATTTTTTTTTGTTTAAAATTTTTTGAAAATTTGCTACCCTCTTTATTTTTAAGGAATTTATCCCCCCCCATATTTAGTTTGTAAAATTTCCTATTTGTAAATCTGAAAGAATGCAGTGACTTCTATGTGTTCTTTACCTGGATTTATTTTATTAGTCAGTAGCTTGATGTTTGAATCTGTGGGTAACTGGGCTAATGGCAAATGAATGTCTATACTAATATCCTAAATATGTTATTAGTAAGTTAGGTTTATGTTGATTTTACCATTCTCTCCAAACATTTTTGTTTCATAATTTTTAATACCCCACAGAAAAACTGAGAAATATAATGAGCACCTAAATTTCCTTTACCCAGATTGAGTTTTAATAAGATAAAAATCTCAATTTATGCCATTTTGGAATTTAGATGTTACTATCAACAAAGCACATTGAATCTGGAATTACCATATAGTGACAGCCTGTTGTTTGGTTATGTCCTAGTTTTTATCTGTATGTATCTGTGTAGAGAAAACAATTATAGTAGGTAAAATTGTTATTAGAACTATATATTTTGATTGAGAATGACAAAATCCGTCAATGTATAATTTTAGTGATTATTTTATTTTCAGATAAGAACATTCTGCGATTCTTCTTCAATCTTGGTCTGAAGGTATTTATATTTTATAACTTTAAAGTTATTTTATTTTTTTAGGTTAATGCTGTTTTAAATTATTGCTCCTGAAATAGTGTTAACTCCTGTAGTCAGTAACCTACAGTTTACTAAGTCTCATCATCTTAAGAACCAGCATTTTCAGTACTGTACAGTTTGTTTTTGGTGGTTGGTGGTAGAGGATCTAATTTTGCCTGGTTTTCTTAATTGGTGATGAGTTTAACCTTGTGAATATAATAAAAAAATGGCTGAGTCCCTAGGTCGCCTAGTGGAAATGCTCTCACTGGGGAATTAACTGAAAATCTGGGTTTGAAACTTTGCTCCATCTCACTTTAGCTGTATATCCCTGGGCAAGCCATTTAGTGTGTTAGGCTAGCTTTCTTCATTTATGGAATGGGGGTAATAACTCTTTATCTGCCGCAGTTGTTGAAAGGTTCAAAGGAAATAACATGTGAAAGCACTCCTATGTAAGATGGTGTGGGTGTTCACTAGCACAGCAGACATCTTTTGGAAGTGATCAACCTAGAAGTAGCTATTCTTAGAAAGAGAGGCTGGAGAACTCTACGTCCTTATCATTGCTAGGTTGTTTCCTGTCCTAGATTAGTTTCTGTGGGTTATAGATGGTTAAAATATGAAATGAAGTGCCTTACCCTAGCCTGCTGACCAGTTAGTTGCATAAAAGGAGACTTGATTAATTTTACCATCTGCTTGCATTCATTGCTTAGTTTTTAATCTACCTAGTTAATGTTGGCTTTATCAAATTGGTTAGCCTATTGGTTGGTTATATTTTATTCACATTTATTTTGATTTTTAATTGAACTTTTTAGAGGAAGGATTTGGAGTGTTTCATTTTCAACATTACCCTTCTCTGATTAGTTTAACTTAATCCTTACAGTTGGAGGGCTCTGGGGGCTCCTAGAATTATGGAGTCTTGTTGTTGGAGACCATCTACTCTTATACCAGTGTTTTCCTGGTAAAATAGGTCTACACAAGCTATCTGGCTGGCATGGGGGTCACACTGTGAGTTAGTGGTAGAGCCAGAATGTGAATGCAGGTGTAGCTAAACAGCCAGTGATTGAGATACTCTCAACCTTTATATCAGGACTTTGGATTGGCTTCAGGGCTGGAGCAAATAATGGAGTCTTAAAGCAATGGTCTGATTTTGTATTCCTTTTCATGTTGGGTATCACAGTGATCTGGTATTTGGATTGTAGATAATATGGTCTTTGTAGACATGAGAAACTTATTTTGTGCCCTGTACTTTTAGATAGATGCCTACCTACACCTCTTTCTTTTGCCTCCCATTTTGTTTACTTTACTGTTTTTTGTCTCTTTTAGGCATATAGTTGTCCTATGTGGGCCCCACATTCTTACCTGTATCCTCTGCACCAGGCCTACCTGGCAGCCTGCAGGATGTACCCAAAGGTCCCTGTCCCTGTGTACCCTCATAATCCTTGGTTCCAAGAAGCTCCTTCTGCTCAGAATGAAAGTGATTGTACCTGTACCGATGCCCACTTTCCTATGCAGACTGAGGCCAGTGTTAATGGTCAAATGCCACAGCCGGAGATTGGACAGCCGACATTTTCTTCACCTCTGGTTATTCCTCCATCTCAGGTGTCTGAAAGTCATGGACAATTATCTTACCAGGCTGATCTTGAATCTGAGAACCCTGGGCAGCTTCTTCATGCTGATTATGAAGAGTCACTAAGTGGCAAAAATATGTTCCCACAACCGTCCTTTGGACCTAATCCATTCTTAGGCCCAGTTCCTATTGCACCTCCTTTCTTTCCTCATGTTTGGTATGGGTACCCTTTTCAGGGATTCATAGAAAATCCAGTAATGAGGCAGAATATTGTCCTCCCCTCTGATGAGAAAGGAGAATTGGATGTGCCTCTGGAAAATCTGGATCTGTCTAAAGAATGTGGTTCAGTTTCAGCAGATGAGTTTCCAGAAGCCAGGGGTGAAGGTGCACATTCTCTCCCTGAAGCAAGCATGAGTAGTAAGCATGAAGGCCGGGCGGAGCAGTCATCCCAGACACGAAAGGCAGATCTTGTATTGACTGCCATTCCACCTGTTGCAGAGGGAAAGATTCATCTTCCCACTCAGCTTCTAAACAGAGAGAGAGAAACTGTGCCTGTTGAACTTGAGCCTAAAAGGACCATTCAGAGTCAGAAAGAAAAACCGGAAAAAGTAAAAGATCCCAAGACTGCTGCTGACGTGGTCAGCCCTGGTGCCAACTCTGTGGATAGCAGAGTGCAAAGACCAAAAGAAGAGAGTTCAGAAGATGAAAATGAAGTGTCTAATATTTTGAGAAGTGGTAGATCCAAGCAGTTCTATAATCAGACTTATGGAGGCAGGAAGTACAAAAGTGATTGGGGCTATTCTGGTAGGGGTGGATATCAGCACGTGAGAGGTGAGGAGTCCTGGAAAGGGCAGCCAAGCAGAAGCCGGGATGAAGCTTATCAGTACCATCGGAATTCTAGAGGACGACCATATAGGGGAGATAGGAGGAGGTCAGGGATGGGAGATGGCCATAGGGGACAAAACACTTGATTGTTGCTGTAGTATTTTCAAGCAGAAACCCTTTCTTAGGTGGAATGTTTCTGAACGCTTTAAAAAAAAAAGACATAAAATAAAAACCCGAATTGGAACTATTTCCCCTCCACCCCCACTTTACCTTCACTCCCAATCTGGACAAGAGATTCTGGACATGAGTTCAAGGGGGCAGGTGGAATTCCTGGCATTGCTAGTTTTCTTCATTCAAAATCTGTTTGATTTATTTATCAGGTGCCTGCCCCCTTAAAAAGTAGAAGATAAGTTTGTTAAAGTATTTTTTATAAACAGCTTAATATAAAACATTATAGATTTAGTGTTTGGTTTTTTTTTTCCTTATATAAGTTTGACTTCAAATGTTGGAAATGTGTGCTTTATAGTGTTCACTAAAGTGACAAGAAAATATACCATTTGACACACTATAGATTCCAAAACATAACATTGCACCAAATAGAAATGTATATTTTATTATGCAATGCCTTAGTCATAAACTGGGCTCAAACAATTCTCAGCCTAAAACACTGTTGTCTTTTAAAATGCTTCCAACCCAAAGGCCTTTCATCTCAATATCTGTCAAACTTGAATAATGTCTTCTCTTTAATATTACACATAAGGCAGCCTATTAACCTGTGTCTTAGAAATGTTGTATATAGTTCTTTTAATATTCATAGGGTATATTTTTGAATTTTGGTGAGTATTTGTTGAAGTTGAAATTGCATACAAGAATATAGATGGTTAAGAAATAGTAGGAAATTCAATGAAATGGCTGTTTCCACCAAGAATTCTTAGCACTGGTGTAAATATCATGGTGCCTACTCGAAAGAAATGTAGATGCTATGCATTTTGAAAATAATCTGCATCTGTTAAAACTGCAGACTTTTATAATGCCACTTTAACACTAATGCACTGACAGATTCTAAATATTTTGTGACAAGAAATGTTAAAAATTTTTAGCTGGGCAGGTTTCTACAGAGAGTTCCTGTTTTGTTTCTCTCCTTGCACCATTGGTTATGTGTATCACTTTACATTTGCATGTTCAACTTGTCATGGCTGGAACTATTGTAAGAATAAGATGATTGTGATTTCTAGTTCTTTTCTAGAGGATGCTGCTAGAAAATGGTTTTGCTTTGCATTTTATAGCTTGTTACCCTTAGGGTAGGTAACATGTCTTTGATCCTGCTTCCTTCCAATCTTGGCAGTATTCACTAGAGGTTCCCTTTGCATGTTGCACTCTGTTCTCATTTGGAGATTGTACTCTCTGAATTAACACAGTATTCGTTCATCTGTGTTACTTTGTAAAAATAACTGTAGCTTATATTTCTTATTTTGTACATACCAATGTGAAAATCTACCCTTTTTTTTTATGTTGAGATTTACCTTTTGATCAGGAAGTTTGAGTGCTATGCAAATATTATAGTAGAATTTCTCTTTGCATGCCATGTGTAATATACCTAGCCAAAACCAGATGTGGTGGCTTTCTTTTTTTTTTTTTTTTAACCCCCTAAGCAAATTACTTTAAAAGCAAATACAATTCACTTGAATTTGACAGACTGAAGCAGATGAGTTTTCTGGGTTCTCTGATAACCTGTAAGAATGTCTGGATGCCAGCAAGGCTCAGTGAATCTCCGCTGTACTGTAATAATGGTTATTTACCTCTGTGCTGTTTTAATTACCTAATGTCTGTGTAACTGCTGATGAGTAGTGATTAACGTTTAGATATTTTGTAACATAGGATTTTAGAGAGCACTTTGACAGATAACATTTTATTATGATGGTGCTAGGTAAAAATTTGTAAAGACTGGGATGGTTGTGTGGAAAAGAAAAAATTGAGAGAACCTGTTGAAACAAATTTGTTGTCACCTTCTAAGGTAGAACAGTTGTTGAAGGTACCGCTGAAGCCATTTTTTTCCTTAACATCAATGGCTGAATTATGGAATGAGACGATCAGATGGTCCTCCACTTTCAGCCCATGCTTTTTTATATAGGATTAGCTTACCTGATAATTTCTATGAAAATCACATTTTGATATAAATACCAGAGTTGAAAGTTCAATATAAGTTTGATCTCAGGAGTCCAAAAGTAATTGCTGTTTCCAGTGTCCTTCATTTTATTGCCTGGGGTTTGATCTCAGTTTCTGGAAATGTTTAAAAATTGGATAGGAAAGAATACTATTCATTTCTTCACTGTCACTGTCTTACCTCAACTGAGTAACAGAATACTCTATAGCTCCTGAAGGAAATACTGATTTGCTTCCTGTTTGCCATATCTCACCTCCAGGACATGATGGAAACAGTGCTGAAAGAGAATTTTAGCAGATGGTACTTTTCTCAGTGACCCTCTGGAATAAAAGAACTCTGACTTTTAATAGTTTTAAAATTATCAAACTTTGCATGAAGGTCAGTTTTGTATTTTTCTTTTAGGTTTGTTTTTAAGTTTATTAGTCCAGGGGATTTTGCCTTATGCTGAGGTCAAACTTAAGGCCAAGCAAGCTTTTGTTCACCTTTATTTTAGCTGTGTGTTAACATATAAGATGCATTTCTATATAAGAGAATAGAAGCAAAAGTATAGAACTGAGAATCATTTGTATTTTGAGTTGGAAATTATGAAACTTCACCATATTATGATCGTACACATTTTGAAGAACAAATGTTTAGACTGACCAAAGCTCACCTGCTCTTTCTGTTTTAGTTAGGTGCTTTGGCAGAACTTGATTCCAGACCCCTTTCCTTTTCTGTCTCTTCTACAAATTCATTTCCTCTCAGAAAAATCTTCAACTCTTGCCCTGTGTGCTCTGTGGAAGCAGGATGCTGGCATCTGTGTAGTCCTCATGCTGTTTCCTGGTAACTCACAAGTTCATTTTCATGGCAGACCTAAGCTCAGACCCTGCCTTGACCTGGGGCAGGAGTAGGTTTTCCCATACCACAATGCCGATGCAGCTTATTTGATGCAGACTGTGTATTCTCGAAGTGTACTGTTTCCTGTGTGACTCAAGTTTGAGTTAAAATGCCTGTGAACTGCAAACTTGCTTGATTGACTTGGTGCAATAAAGTTCCTTCTAACCATTTCTGGTTTAGAAAACATTCAGCCATCCTAGAAACTAGCAATATTTATTTTTGCCTCATTTTGTATTATCTTCAGTTTTAGATGAGGTAAACTTTTTGTCTTTCACTTAAGGGTACTAAGCAAGGTCCATTCTAGTGTAGCTGAAGAGAATGCAGATTTGGCTACACTATTTCTGTTTACTGTATTTTGCTCCCTATTTTATGTCCGAATGCTATTGTTTCTGTTTAAAATCTTAATGGCTCCCTTCCAGTATGTCAATTTCAAAGAACTAAGGTTTTGCTACTAGTGTCAGCCATTTACTCTCCCACTAATTGGGATTTTATTTTAAAAAGATTTTCCCCCCTGAAATATAAGTTTTAGAAAAATCTTTAGAAGAGGGGTGGGTGCATGTCTTAATGCTGGGAAGCAGCAACTTTGGGGTTGAATTTACTTGAATGGATTAAAAATTGCATTGTTAGAGAGCTAGAAAAAATTCATGTATGAAAAATGATAATAGCCTTACACTGAGTACAAATAATACTTAAAGCATGTGAAGATGTGATCATTTGTGATGTTACTTGTAAAAAAAAGTATATATACATATCTTTTGAAGTGTTGAAAGGAAAATAGTACTTTATATTCTTTATCATATCACTTTTTGTAAGTGTTGAATATATTCCTGTTTATTTTTCTATGTTGTTTTGTAGCCTTAAGAAGTGTTTCAAACATATCTGAATGTATAAGAGTAAATGCCCTACATGGTGTGATGCTGCATTATATATAAAACTGTGTGCATATATTAAATTTTGTCTCTTGCTTCTGCTTGTGATTCTTTGGTTCCAGGGTTAAATAAGTAATACAGCATATAAAAAGGGGAATTTTAATAAACTTTTAAAGTAAAAGATGGTATTGGGTACTTTGGCTTATACCTGTAATCCCAGCACTTCTAGGGGGCTGATATGGGAGGATCTCTTGAGGCCAGGAGTTCAAGACCAGCCTGGGCAACACACACCCTCTCTCTCTCCAAAAATAAAAAAAAAACAAAAAAACATCCATGGTATTTTTCTAGCCGGAAAATTCTATTATGTGCAACTGAAAACCATGTGAGATTTATAACATAACCTATGGAGTAGGTACTACTATTTTCCCTACTTGGTATACAGACACAATGAAAACTGAGACTAATGCCAAATTATTTGCCTAAAGCAGGCGTCCTCAAACTACAGCCCGTGGGCCACATGCAAGTGTTTTTTGCTCGTTTGTTTTTTTTACTTCAAAATAAGTTATGTGCAGTGTGCATAGGAATTTGTTCATAGTTTTTTTTAAACTATAGTCCAGCCCTCCAACAGTCTTGAGGGACAGTGAACTGGCCCCGCTTAAAAAGTTTGAGAACTAGTAAGTGGTAAAATTTGGATTTTAACCTAGCTTTAAGTGATTTTATAGCTAGTGCTCTCAACCATTTTTAGCAGTCACTAAATGAAATGGGAATGTACATAGCATCTAAGAATAATTTACAGGTTATGGTCCTTGTAAGTTTTTTTATTAGTATTCAATAATAATTATGCTGCCTCGGCTGAGTGTGGTGGTTCATGCCTGTAATCCTAGCACTCTGGGAGGCTGAGGCAGGTGGATAGTTTGAGCTCAGGAGTTCGAGACCAGCCTGAGGAAGAGCGAGACCCCGTCTCTACTAAAAATAGAAATGAGCTGGACAACTAAATATATATAGAAAAAATTAGCCAGGCATGGTGGTGCATGCCTGTAGTCCCAGCTACTAAGGAGGCTGAGGCAGGATTGCTTGAGCCCAAGAGTTCAAGGTTGCTGTGAGCTAGGCTCACACCAGGGCACTCCAGCCAGGGCAACAAGAGTGAGACTCTCAAAAAAAAAAAAAAAAATGCTGTCTAAAGAAACATGAAGAAAATGCAAAGTTTCCCGCCCAAACACAAAGAACTTTTATTGCAGAATAAGGAGCTATACAAAGTACACTCCAGAGAGCAATGGGTCAGTCTCCATGAGTGGAAAGAGACCAAAAATTGAAGGTTTTGAAAACAGGTTATCAAGTATACTTACCTTCAAAACCTCACAATTTCTTAACGCTGTATTTATATATGAAAGTCACCAAAAAATAATGTCATACCTTAATATACAAAGGCCTCTTTTAGTGCAAGTACTTGATAGAAAAGTGGTTGGCCTAGGAACAGAGGCAGCAAGCTGGGAAGGAGGAGCCAGTTTAAAGATGAGTTGGTCGGCTGTATGGATGTTTTATTTGGGACTGCTTGAGGGTGAAACATCAACAAGAACCCTTGGGGGAAAGGGGAGAGGATAGAGAAAAAGCATTATTTCTTAGCTGTATGCCAAGGGGTTCACCTAAGTCAACAGAAGCCAGAGCAGGGGCAGAGAAGCAAGAGATGTGTCTGTAGCTGGTTGGGACCCTTGCAGAATTGGTCCCTCCAAAAAGTGGATGGGATAAAAGGAAAGACCAAATGAATTCAGTGAATGGTCCTCAACAAGTGTCTGGTACAGGGTTTCTCTCAAGGTTCTCTATACCATGTTTCCCCGAAAATAAGACCTACCCATAAAATAAGCCCTAGCAGGATTTCTAACCATTTGCGCAATATAAGGCCTATCCTGAAAATAAGACCTAGTGATGGGCATGGCTACGCAGCGTATCTGCACAACCCATGCATTTCCTTGTGGAACGCTAAAGAAAAGAAGACGAGTAGCCCTTCACATCTGCCCCATGAGAGCTCTAGTTCTCCACACGAGAGATTGGGGCCAATGGTTCTAAAGGAAATAGAGTTGCAAGAAATTCAGGATGGAATTTGGGATTTGGAGAGTTATGATGATGTTCCAGAAGATGATTTAACTATATCTGAAAAAAATGTAGATTGTTGTACTGTACTTAGAAAAACACATCCCCTGAAAATAAGCCCTAGACTGTCTTCTTGAGGAAAAATAAATATAAGACCTGTCTTATTTTTGGGGAAACATGGTAGTTATAAGGCTTGCTGGTTCACTTCGAATAACTGATTAAGCTTTTACTGAACTCTGAAAGACTTAGGTCTGGGGAATAGTGTGAGAATGTAAATAACCACAAAAGAGGAAGTTAGACACAGATTCTCTTTATAGACTTACACACCCTAACTTAGTTTGTAAGCTCTTCTAAAAGTGCATCATGGACCCCTCAGAATAGTTTAAGTTTTCTAAGAGAAATTACAGACATTGGTATAAACACATTAGGGTTTTTAATATCAATCAATTCTATATCAAGTTCATTAGAGAAATATGGGGCTTCAAAGTCAACTTTTAAAATACATACCATTCCTGTAATTACATTTTATTTTTCTCATTTAGGGAAAAACCTTATAAAGATGTAAAGATGAAGAGTGTAGTTCTTACAGCTGCTTATCTCTTTGAATATTCTACTTAACCTGGGAGGTTATTGATTCTTCAGATGAAATAGAAAACTGCTGTTTACCTACCCAGGGTATACCTGCTACTTGTTTAACTTGTTTCATCCTCCTTGTAATTGACTTTCTAAATTAGGAGTTAGTAAAAGCATTTAAGTCCTTTGGAATTTTATAAGGTACTTTTTATAAATGGTCACTGGAAACCGGATGCGCAAACATGAAGTGATTACTAAGGTTATGCTCTGTGAGAAGAGATGGATGTCAGTTTTATTAGCCAAGAACTGTGTCGATATGGGAAATGCATACTTGGGAACATACAACGCTGGGAGCTGCAACTAACACTTGCAAGTAAAGCCAGAATCACTCTAATGAAAAGGTCAATATTACTGAAAATTTCTATAGACAAGCCTCTCTTGTTCTGGGTTCCAGTTTCTGGATGGAAAGCAAAACAACAAAACACACTCCACTGAAAATGTTACCACCTTTGTTTGGGTTTGAGGTCCAGGAATCTGCAAACTAAGAAAAACAAAAAGTGGTTCCAAGCGGTTAATATTCTTGGGTCGCCTCGCAGAAGGCAAATGGAAAGAAAGCCTTTGGTGGGAGAGACCTCAGACAAGGAGCCATGGTTATTTGGCAGCAAGTGACAGAAAACCAGTTTGAATTACAGTAGACTAAACAAATAGTGATTTTCCATAAGAAATCTGGAGGGAAGTGGCTGCTGGCAGCTGAGCAGTGTTTGATGTCAGCACTAGCATCCTTGTAGCTTTCTTGGCAATTCCATTATATGATCACCTTATGAGCACAAAATGCTTGTTGCATCAATCACATCCTCAAGAAGCAGTACCAGATATATGTATCTCCTTTTATTAAGCAAGGGTTTTCCAGAAATACCCCAGCTGACTTTTGCTTTCAATTTGTTGGCCAGAACTGGGTCACATGGTCTAACTGCAAGAGAGCCTGGGAAAACATGGAAGAGGACTGTCATGATTGTCTTAGACCAATTATGACCAGCCACCGTGTGTGGGACACATTGTGTGTCCTAATAAATTGGCAAGGAAGGAGGGTGGTGCTGAGTACAGGGTTCAGAAGAAACTGCATTTGCCACATTAAATCTCTAATTTTCAGATACGGCCTCACTGAACATCAACGCACAACCCAAAATACAAGGAAACAATCAGCCAAGAGCAAGTCAATAGAGAAAACATACAGCAAATTTAGACCTACATGAATTAAGTGGACTATAAATTTTTCAAAAGATAAAAGGATAGAAATGTTAAAACATAAGCTCTTGAACACTGCTATCTTGGCAATTCTTCTCTAACTGGCCTTGCTCTGTGTCTTTTTTCATCCATGAAGGGACAGAAAGCTCTTCAGAATCTGCCTGTATTCATTCATCTTTTCTTCCCACTCATCTCTTGAATGTCCATGCTCATTTCTGCCTCTGACCAGTCACGTATTTTGCTTTACATGGATTATCTCACTTATCCTTACAACAACTGTGAGATGGGTGCTATTCCTCTTTCCAACCCAGAATGGTTACTTTCTCCTCTGAACCACTGAGTGCTCCCAATATGCCACGCACTGGGTTAAGGTCTTCTCATGAATTAAGTCTGTTGGTGAACATGAATGAAATTATACAACAGAGTAGTTTTTCAGTCTTATTTCTTTCTCTGTAGCATGTTGGCTCATTCTTTCAATAAAGTAGGCCACTATGTACGCACTGAGTGGTAAGCATTACAGATACAGGACTGGACTTCAAGATAATTATGGTCTAAAGGTTAACTTAAATTGAAAAAAATAGTTGAATAGAATTCACTGCTTTTGTTAAGACTGCTCTAAACTAGGCGGACATAATTAACATGGATTATTTCTAATGACAATTTCAAAACATCAGTGATTTTTAAAGTTAATACATGTAAAATATATTAATAAAATTCAAAAGGTACTATGTGTGTATATAAATGTCTCCTTTCCTTCCCTATTATTTAGCCGAGCTGTCCTTCCCAAAAGTGATATTGTTTCTTGAGTATCCTTTTGTATATTTAAATATTTTGTATATTTTCACATAAATGGTAATATATAAATCGTGTTGTACTGGTTTTTCTTAGTATCTGAGACTTCTTCCAGTCAAGACATACTGAGCAGTCTCATTCCTTTTAATAGCTAGCATCTAGTGTATGTAATAATACTGATTTTGTTGGTGAAGCTTCTCCTTGTGTTAGCGATTGGAGGCCTTTCTATTCCTATATAAAATTTTCATTTACACACAAAAATATTTCCTTATAATTAACACATATTCTGTCATCAGCAAAAAGTAGAAAGAACTATGTATGGTCTTATATCACAAGTATTTTCTTTAGGGCAGAATATGGAATCAGTAAATAAAAATAGCCTTTGTCTTCTTTTATTCCATATATTTGAAATGATCATTCACAAATTTAACCTATCCTTAAAAATAGGTACTACTTATTTTAGTATAATCTCATTTACCCTTTACAAACAAATATGTAAATAAATAAATCCTTTACATATTCACACTTAGGTCTAAGTGCACAGAAAAAAGCATGAAAGAATATATATTATTAAGTTCAAACACTGGTAACCTTTGGGAGGGTAATAAAGGTAGACCTTTTTTTTTATTCCATATACTTAATGTGTATTTAAATTTTTTACAACATGTATTTATGGGTTACTCACATAAATTATTAATGGGATCCAGTTGAACCATACTTTCTATTTACTGTTTACATATTAATCAAGGCTTCTATTATTTCAAGGAGCTCTAAAAGTCTGTCAAATAATTTCAAATTTTCTCCTCTATTTTGCTTGTCCCAATTATTTAATAAACCTTCTTTCCTCACTCATAATTAAGTTAAATTCCAGTTCAATGCATTAGTCAGACGTACAACTGAAAGTAGTTTCAGGGTACAGGTATCCTGCTGCTCAAACCAAGGAACTCAAGACAATTGGATGAGTTTATATCCAAACTTAGAAATGAACACAATACATTTGGTACTAAGGGATATTCTGTATTGCTATCTGGGGATTTTTGCATTAATGCTGCCTTTAGGGAAGTGGTTTACAGTTTACAATCCTGGGCTGCCCATCAGAAAAATCTGTGGAGGTTTAAAAAATATACAGATGCTTAGGCACCATCTTTAAAGACTGTGAGTCTATAGTTTCAAGGGAAGCAAATACGCTTTAGAAAAGCTTTTTCCTAAATCTTGATATCAGTGATTATATAAAGGTATGATAAAAATGATATTACCTTGAGAGAATGATTACATAATACAGATTCTTATAAGGCAAAAACTGAAAAATTCAGAGTAAAGTTAGGTTTTCTGGGGGGGAGGGGGGAGAGGGAATTGAAATGAATTTTGCTAAAGATGTTTGAAAGCACCAAAAAACATTAAAAACAATTCTTATGTAACAAATACCTATTTCCCAACAGTGTTTTGTAATAGGTAATCTTCCTTGGAAACCATACATTGATAATATAGTGCAAAGACTGAAAACAATAAATATAATCCTGATGTTTATTTATCAAATCTCACCAGTGGAGTGTTCGACTGGCTTTTAAAATAAGGGCAGTTTCATTATACTGGCATACTTGGCAAACCAGGTAAGCACAGAAACTTTTTTCAAGATTTTTAAAATGGGGCAACACTGGTCAGCATTTGGTATATGAATATAATACACCTACTGAAAATCTTCCCATATATCATGAAAACTTGGAGGTAATCTGTATAGCTTGAAATGTGTCTTCATTTTTGAATATTATGCACAAAAGGACCTTATCATCAAGAACAGAAAAGTGGTATTTTCTGTGTTCAGACTACAATTTACAACACAACTGGCTTTTGATGTTACATTAAATACATTCTACTTCAAGCTCCAGAACATGTGGGGCATAAAACCTGATTCAAGTTTTATACGACAAAAATCATAGTAATTGTGTCTTTTAATAAATGGCTTATCAGTATTTTCAGGGAATCTAATCATCCAAGAAAAAGTAGTTTCCACTCTTCTTTTGTTCTACATCCTAAAAAATAAAACAGAGAAGCAACAAGAATCAGCAATACCATTCTCCTATTGGTAAAGATAGACTTTCACCTACAGTATTTCTTAACCGTGTTTAGCAACAGCTCTGGTACAACCTCTTCTGCAGCCATCAACTGGTTCTGGATCCAAGGCAAGATTACCACTTCTGCCCCTTATCCCTACTACTAGAAAGGCTCACTTATGCCAAAGCAAAAGTTCCTTTAAATAAGCTGCCTCACATATATAGAATTTTGTTACGTTTTATAATATTATTTCTGGGAAAACTATTAAATCCCAGTTTCATTATATCAACTCCTGGCGCAAAAGGCAGCATATTGTCAGCCTTAGAACTACCTATTATACAAAATATATATATGAAAATAGTTTTTCCCAAATCTGTTTATAGACTGGCCAGTCACAATCCATCTACCTACTTGCCCACCTGTTCCCTTATTAGGATTAAGGTATGACTACCTAACATGAGTGGGCATATAAAAATGATTAACAGCTATGACTGAGGATAGAATCATGCACCTACCTAAGAAAATGATAATACAAAGTGTTCATAATGCTTCAGAAGAAATTCCTGTTCTCTTTTCTGCTTAATATGCTTTTCAGAATGGAGAAAGCTCTTCAATTTCACCTCAAAAAAATTTTACCATTTTTTTTATCCTGGCCAAGAAGTAATATCAATCATTTATCAACAAAATATACAGTGAAGGCTAAAGGCATCCAGACACTATGTTAGGTACTTAAGAATACAATGAAATGCAAGATGACTTTGCCTCTGGCCTCCAAAGAACTCATGGTTTATATCAAAGCTAGAACTACAAACAGGAAAATAAATGCTACAGCAGAGGTATATATAAAACACACTCCTAAAGCTTTTAAGTGTCAGGATGATGCACACAGGACAATGAAATGTAAATATTTTAGGTAGGCACTTGCAGGTGATACTAAGAATGATAGAAATGCTCTTAGAATTCATTCATTTTCTTTTTCTTAAGCAACCAGGAGATTTTTGCCTTTAAGAAATGAACAGCATACCTCACAGACTAAGTATAGGGCACATAATTATTTTATATACTACAAAGACAGAAAAAACAGTATTAAGCTGACATGACATTTTCCTCATCAAAAAAGCTTATTTAAACTTTTAAAATATACATTTTTACCATGTATTCAAAAACATAAGAAACATAAGAGAAATTGGTTAAGGCATTCTTAAAAATTCACTTCAATGGTGAATTAGTAGACTCTTTCTAAGACACTGTGAATGGCAATTAGCATAGGTAGTGCAACTGTGCATATGATTCTAAGAGACAACATGAACAGCTCTGCCTGAGTCCATGCAGCTACATCACAATTGCTGCTTAAAAAACTGAAGTTATCATCAGCTTTTAAAATGTAAAAAACAGGATTTTAGAATTATTGAAATATAGTTTTGATTTTTAAAGAAAGTCTTTGTTTATACTGAGATAGGTGTCCATGATTTAAGATAGTTTTTCTACATACCTTAATTGAATTGAGTTTATTTATTCGTGGCCTATAGTTGTTCGGATCTCTTCTAAATGTAATTTCAAGTTGAGACAAAAATTTATTCATGCCAGCCAAAAGTGTTTGAGGACTAGGAGAAAAAAAGATCAATTTTGATGAAATTTTATCCCCCAAATGTAACTACCCTTTGAGATGAAGAGTATTAAGAATCACTATTCCCTCAAATCCCTAATCATAAATCATCTGAATAACAGTATAATCACAACATATTGTAAATCCTATGTTCAGAAATGGCTTTTCTTGAACTATACAGTTTCTTGGCTATAATATTTTTGTGTAAAACATAGTTTAACCTGTATTTCTGCTCTGGAATAAAAAGCATTTAAGATAGAAGTACTACTTTAGAAAAACAAAAGATCATTAATAAGGAGATTACAGAGTCGCAAAGCTGACATTTTTAGGGGAGAAGACAATTTAACAAAAAGTTATATTTATGTTACAAACTTGGCATTGGAGGGAGTATGTACTTCAATATAGTGGTTTTCTGTAATAATTCCTTTTTAAATTTCTATGCTTTATGCATCTTTTTCACCCAAGCTAAGTCTTAAATCATGCCAAACCAGGGCATACATTTTCGACATTTCATAAATACAAAGGGAGAATGTTATGTGAATAAATAAGCTTTATATATTCTAAGAAATTTGCCTAAATTTTAGAGAAATATATTATTCTCATTAATTGATATACAAATTTAAAAAGAAAGCAAATTCAGAGAAGAATCTCACTCAGTAAAACACTTTCATTTCTTAGATGAATTATTCAAATAGCAATTGAATTCTTCTCTCCAATATCAGAAAATATAATACTGGAACCACATGAAACTGCTATTTTATAGGTCAAAAATGTTTGCATATTGGTAATTTCATATAGTTAAACCTAATACAGGTTTTAGCACTAAAGGTAAAAGAAATATAATCTGATTTGAATGTTAGGCTTCTCTACATTGCAAGTGTTCACAATCAAGATAAGGAAAAATGAGAGGAAAGAGGAGAAAAAGGTAAAATCATTCATTTTAAGTCTGCTGTGGATCAATACCAGGTATTTGAGACCTACTGTAACCTATCACTGTCACTATAGGAAGGGCAAATCATGTCTCTTTGGATCTTACTTTTTCTGTCATGTATAGCATTAATAGCTTATTAATACAGGAAATTATTTATAAAAAACAAAATTCTTTTCTGGAAATTCAAATAATAAAGCAGATACTAGTTAAGTTGAAAGAAAAGGTGAGGGGCTCAGAGCTGTGTGTGTTTATGCCCCTGGGTCAGGGATTCCATGTCGTCAAAACACTATTGTACCTGGTCCCATCCAGTATTCAATATAAATAATCTGTGGAGTCACAGAATCAGGTTTAGACTTTTTGGTTCTTTGACTTTTTATTAAAAATGGAAGTGGTATGACCTTCATGTTTATAAACTTACTGGAAAATTTAAAATTTAATTATTTCCCCCTAATTGTTAGAATTTATAGTTAGCTTTGAACATTTTAAAAAGTAATTTTACCTGTTTGCCACTGTGTTCTTAGATGGAATGCCATCAAAAACAATGACCCGATCTGCTAAATAGGTAGCCATGATGAAGTCATGTTCTACAACAAAAGCTGTCTTCTTCGCATGGAGTATGAAACTAAAACACAATGATTTTGAAATCTTTTATAGCTTTTTATCATAAAACATTCAGATGTTATATTAAGCACACTTTATGCCAGTATACATAACCAAAGGTATTACTCTTATGAGCAAGCATTTACCGTTTGACAACCCGAGCTGCCATCAGTCTTTGCTCAGAATCCAAATATGCAGATGGTTCATCAATTAAGTAGACATCAGCAGGTTTACCCAAGCAAAGGGCCAAAGCTACTCGCTGCAGTTCACCACCAGATAATGTCTGTACCTAATTGGAGAGAGGTTAGCAAACCATTTAAAGATATATAAAATTTAAAATAATAAAATTAAAAGAAGATAAATAATTATGTTAAAGTACCTCTTGATCGATGATGTTTTCAATTTGCAGAGGCTTCATTACATCAGTCACAAATTGTGGATGAGTGTAAGCATCTCTTATCTTTTCATGTAGTAACTGGCGAACACTTCCCTGTTTTTAATGATAAAATTTCAGTACTCTTCTACTTAAGAATCTTGACAAAAGTTAAGCTCAGAGCAAAAGTATAACAATTTGCCACCAACAGATATCAACCACATTTTTCATGCTTATTCATCATTTATGGAATATTTTGAGATTTTCTATTACAGACTCATTATGTTCAACATGTAAAAAGGCAATAATAATCTTGAAATTAGAAAGTAATAAGCAAATAATGTTTCAGGGGAGAAATCATGTGAGAGTAGGAATTCTGAAGATCAAAGTGTGGGTATCAAGCGAACTTAGGCAAGCAGTAAGAGGTAACACAAAATGCACCATAATGTGCTAGAGATAAATCCTAAAATGCTTTTTGCATGCTATTTCAGGATAAGGCTGAATTTGAGAATTTAAAGCTAAGCTTATAAAAAATATCAGTGATAAAACTTTTATTGTAATTTAAGCCATGTCAAATAGGTATATCAAAGTGGGTGTTAAGGTACTGAGTGTAGTACTGTAGTTACAACCCCTGTAGAAATCAAAGGAGGTTATTTAGTTTAGCACAATGTTTTCAAGGTTTATTCATATTGCACCATTTATCAGTATTTCACTTCTATTCATGGCTGACTACTATTAAATTATATAGCTATAACACATTGTTTATCCATACATCAGCTGATGGGACATCTGAGTTGTTTCCATCTTTTAGCTCTTATGAATAATGTAATCATTTGTATGTAAGTTTGTGTGTTGAGATAGGTCTTCATTGCTCTTGGGTATATGCCTAAAAGCAGAACTGCTGGTTATTTTTTAATTTTTAAAAATTAATATTTCCTCATTTTATTCCTTCTTCTTTTGCTTTTTTAGTTTATTTAACTGCTGGGATATGCTAATAAGAATTGCTGGTTCTTATGCTAACTCTATCTTTAATCATTTCTGTAACTGTCAGATTTTTCCATGTGGTTCTACCATTTTACATTACCACTAGCAATGTATGAGATCCCAATTTCTTTACATCCTCATGAATACTTGTCATTGCATTTTTGAACTTAGTCATCCTAGTAGGTATAAAGTGGTGTCTCACTGTGGTTTTGATTTCCATTTCCCTAATGACTAACGATGCTGAGCATTGTTTCATGTGCTTACTGGCCATTTGTATACCTGGAAAAATGTCCTTTTTTGGGGAAATGACATTTGCTTATTCAAATTGAGTTACAAGAGTTCTTTATATATTCTGGATACAAATGCACATGTTTTCTCCTATCTTGTGGGTGGCCTTTTCACTTTCTTGATGTTGTCATGTATAGCACAAAATACATTAGGTTTTAAAAGGTTTATTCTGGAAAAACATACCAGATTTTAAAAGCATTTCCCTAGTAGTGGAAATGAATCAAGGACTATAATCTTAATACTTTTGTTAGTAACTTTCAATAAAACTGTACAGAATCTAATTTAGAGAAAAATTTTAATACAGTAAAAGATTAAAGCTATAGACATATATATATATATATATAATTTTCTTTAGTAAGCATATAAAAGAATAACAACTCACAGTTGATTTGGGACTAATTTTCTGTGGCTTATAACTGACATTTAGAACTGGCACTTCTCCTGCAAAATAATGCAAATACATAAGACACTAAAAACCACCCAGATCTTTAAACTTTACTATGGGAAGAGAGTAAAAAGACTCTACATTTACAACTGTACCTCCTTCATCCGGTTTAAGTCTTCCAGCAAGCATTCTGATAAATGTTGTTTTACCCGTACCTGGCAACAGAACACCCAACAAATTGCCTTGAAAGATGCTTCACATTTAGAGAAAACCACTATGTCCCCTACTTGGTTTTAACTGAGGAATTTATTTGAAAGCTATACACTGACACTACTGAATTATAAAGCTTATATAGAAAAATATTTAGTTTTTCATAATTCACTTCTCAAGTATCATTCTAAGCTAATTAGGAGGAATAAAGACTAGTCAAAGCTTATAATGACCACTTTAATAAACAGTAGATCTATAAAGTTTAAGTCTTAGGATAGTTTTAAACGACTAATTTAGTTACATTATCAATGCACACCATGTATTAAGACAGTGTAGGTTGTTTTATAAATAGATACCATCATTTTAAAGTACATTTACATGAAATATTTAAATTGCAACCCAATTAAAAATTTCTGCTAACTAAAGACTGATACATTGCAACCATTTTTTGTCTACAGTTTTGTAAGCTGTAAGATTAACAATTCAAATAATTTTTTCAAGTCATGAAAACAAGACATGTTTAGTAGTCTAATTCATCTTAAAACTATACTTATGATGATAATTTAATATTAAAAATGTTAGTAATACAACTACTTACAAAGATAGATTGCCTTGAATTTAAAATAAATTCCAAATGGAGGTATACAAGGAAAATTTGTTTAAACCAGACTGTTTCCGAATTACCAATTTATCCTTTCCTTCCTAGTCAGTTTGCAAGATGACTACCTTATTAATTTACACGCAGAAAAACCAGCTGAGAAAAAACACCTGATTTTTCACTGGAGGTTATGAAACAAAGTAAGAAATATTCACTTGATTGAGTGACAGTGAGATTAAATTACATAATACCACAAAAATGTGAAGCTATACTGAGAAATTTATGGATTCAAAACCCATATCAAAGCCTTGTAACTGATTCAGCTTTCCATGGAACAATTACAATTAATTTGCTTGATAAACAAAAAAAGACTTTTTACATATCACAAAATAAGGAAAACTTGACTTACCATTTTCCCCCAGCATAACCATGATTTCGGAATCTGTAAATTCTCCAGCTACAATTGCTAGCTCAAACTCTCCCATTTTTTTCTTCATCCCTGGATATTTATACATACACATCTTTTTAACTTCTTCTTCATTTGCTGTCTCGGCAACTTTAAAAACAAGTGATGCATCTCTAAATCTCAAGTTTTCTGTTGGAACATAGCCATCCAAAAATATGTTTATGCCTGTTGGAAATAAAATTGTTAACAGATTAATAAAGTTCAATTATAGACTAAACCTCTAAAGCAAGAAATCATCAAAGCCAAAATCCTAAGCTCTTTTGGAAGCCATCTATGTATAGATTTTAAATTTCGGTGGATTTTTGATAATAAGCAGGTCTGCATATAACGAAGTGACAACACGGTTTTTCCTGTATATAAATTTAAATAATTCATGCATATGTTTGTGTCCCCCCAGCCCAGAAGTACATCTTTTATTATGTGATTTTCCCCCATCAGATTTTATGCATAAGATAGCATATGATATCTCTGCTTTATTTTTAAATCAAAAATTGCTATTTTTCTTAAAAATGACAGGTATGAATATTTTCAGACTGATATAATACTGATGTAAAAATCTGGAGGATAAATTTTTAAACAAATAATTCAAGTTATGAACATTCATTTACCATGAGAGATAACCATACACTTTGAAAGTTTACTGTTTTTTCAGACTAATTTTAAAGGTTCATAATAAATTGAATAATGTATTAATTTAACTGTTTTTTGCTTCACTGTACAAAGACACCACCATTATCAAAATATTTTAATAACTGAAAGTAAACCAACATACCAGAATCCCTTCCTAATAAAATTGTAAGATCTACAATGGCAGATATGCAGAATTGGAAAAGTGGATTACTTGAGAAACCATGAAAGACCTGTATTCTTAGCTATATATAAGAAGTAAAAGAAAGATAGTAGCTGAAGTTTTGGAAGGTCTTGAAAGGGAGTCTAAGCATGTTAATACATTTCATTTGGAATTGAGGGCCACATCAGGGGGCCTGTATCCTCAGCCTGGAACATAAGTGTTCAATAAATTTTTGCTCACAGAACAAAACAGATACATTTATTTTGCCAAAATCAGCATTTAAAAAAAATCTTAAACTATTTAAAAATAATAATCTGAAATTAAAAATTAAATCCAAACAAAAACTCAAAGGTACCTCAGCAGCCAATGACTTAATTAATCCATGTGCCTAACTTATTTACGGAAATTAAGGCTCAAAGAAATAATTCTGTTCAAAAAACATAGTAAATCAGTCTTTACATTCGTACTACAATGTTTGTCTGATTAATCTGAAAATGAGTCCAAACTATAATCACCTTTATAATTCATAGAAAGCTTATATATATGCTGCATTAATTTTAGTATGTTAAAGAGATATAATTTCTTAATTCAATTGTTTTAACAGATGAGGCACATTAAAAAGCTCACCAGGAGCCATTTATTGAATGGCATAGTCTTTAGAGACATGGCATTTAAACTGGAATTGTGAAGAATGATTGTCACGTACCCATATGGTTATTGATCTGATTCTAGAACTACTATATATGTAGAGTAAGGTACTCAAGTGTAAAAAGGAACCTGCTACTACTTAGGGAACAAGGTTGCATGAATTCTTTTTCTAGAATTATGGTATTTTTTCACCCAAGATATAGAATAAACAGCTCTAGCCTTTTAGTGTTTGGAATTGTCAGGTCAAGAAACAGCTGGAAAAAAGAAATATAAGATAAAATAGAAGGCAGCAGTGAAAGGAAATGGGAAAGAAATTAAAAGGAAAAAGATATGCAAGGTGGAGAGTACAGTGGTACTTGTTTCAGGAGCCACTTAGTGGTAGGCTAGTTTCTATTTTTGCTTAGTAGAGGGAATAAATGACAATTTTAATATACTTATTAAAGTATCTTATTAGACTTTTAGACAACCTTAGTGCTACAGATTTAAGATATAGAATACACATAAATTTGAAACATGAAAACAAAATGAGCACTGAATGAATTTTAAAAGTTTCATCACTGGTGTAGGCCTGTCAAAGATAAATTTGATGAAAAATGATAGTGCAGAAACCAAAATACACAAGATTTTTAATACAGCAAAAAAGGGTAAAACTGCATTTCTTTGCTCCCTCAACAGAGAATTCTACCAAAAAAAAAAGTTTTATATAACCTTATATATACATTCTGCTCAGTGATTAAGGTCGAAGAGACCACAGTTTTAGGTAAATAATATTAGAGCAACATAAAACTACTTAATATCAATAATACATTTTATAAGCATTAGAGTGGAAGAAAATACAGTATATGTGAAAACAGTTTTTCAAGTTACCTTCTCTTACACTAAAAGGCATAGTGACAACACCGTAAGCACTTGGTACACCATATAAACAGCAGATGAAGTCAGAGAGATAGTCTAATACACTGAGATCATGCTCCACCACAATGATATATCTGAAAATCAAAACATCTTTTTATTTTTAAAATTAACATGTAATCAGCTGAAACTCTTACATAATCATTTTTACTACAGTTGCAAATTTCAGAATATATTTTAAAAATATTAAGCACAAAAAATTAAGCAAAGGCCACAAAACATTTTCTTGAAAAATGCTTATTATCAATGCCCATCTTTAAAAATGTTTCCCTAAGCTAAAAAAAAAAAATGCAAAGTTTATACATAACTATACATAACTATATGTATAGTTATGTATACATAACTATACATAAAATGTGTTTTGCTAATAAGGAACACATTTTAAAATAAACTTTACAGAGAAAACCAATTATAATAGATCTGATTTAGATGTAGCCTAAACTGTTTGAATATTATGCTGTTCAACTTATGTATTATGCCCTGTACTTGTCCTGTCTTATGTTAGATGGAGTGGGGGGACACATGGAGAAAAATTATGACAGAATCTTTAACTTGAGAACTTTTAATTTAGCTGGGAAGACAAGAAACAGATATGAAATACACCATGTGGCAAAATGAATTCTATAAATAATAAATTCCAGTGAAGGTCAGTGTGTACTGGAGCTCTAGTACACTATATGAATGAGATGGGATATGAAGTGAACCTTAAATGAGTAGATTTGAATGAAGTGATAAAGTAGTGTTAGAGTAGAACTTATTAGGCCAGTATAGCCACAAAACTTTTATGCAGCACTTTATTCCCATTCCAACTTAGTTCAACATTTTAAAAAAAGTCCTATAGACATCTCAAATGCAAATTTAATGTATCAGCTTCTTGCATGAATAAAAACACTCCATATTTGTATTAATGGAATCATCACTCCCACCAAAATGACTCATTTTAATTCCAATGATATATAGTATTTAAACTGCCAAGTCCGTCAACTCTTTAATTAACAGTGTCTTGTGTGTCAATTTCATCCTTTTCCTTCTCTGCCTAAATTCTAGCTCTTTGATCTTCTCTGCCTAAATTCTAGTTCTTTGATCTTTCAATTCTGCTACAGATTTTTGACAAATCTCATCTTCTTCAGGTCCTTAGACTTTCTTTCAAGGCCTTCCAAAACTTTAGCTATCTTTCTGTTTCTTAATTTATATATACAAAACACTGAAAAAAAAAATGGATCTTTGTTTCTGAATAATCTGCTTCTTCATTTGTGTGTGAGAGGCTATTCTTTTTCTAAATTCTCTCTTGTCTAAATATTCGCCTGTTGAAATCCTACTTAACCCTGTATAATTTTTTTACAAATATATTTCATGCAAATGAACTTTTTCCCATTCTTGCACCCCCATAATAAGTATTTGAACTGATACTTGGGACTTATTTATTATGAGTACCCCTCTAACTTGCCCATAAACATATTAAAGGAAGAGTAATACATTTTAGCATCTCTGTGACCTTTAGTCTTGTGGTATATCCTAGATAATTAATAATGTTACGGAATGACAAAAAAATCTGGACTAAAGCCAATTGGCAATGAGAAAGATGGTAGGTTCTGGAACAGCATGGTCCAGTAGAACTTTCTATGATTATGACAATATTCTATCTCTATGTAATACCCTATATGGTAGCCATTTGCTGTAGTGGGATGTAACTAGTTTGAAGAAATGAATTTTTAATTTCAATTAATGAAAATTTAATTAACTACATATATCTAGGGTCTACATAAGAGTTTTAAACTGAGAATGACATGAAAAAAACATCATTTCAGAAAGAGTTATCTGGCAAGAAGAAAAATCCATAATTTTTGGGGGGACTCTAAACAGTAATCCAAGTCTTAGGTGGTAAAAGAAATAAAAAAGAATGGGGGCAAGTCTAAGACGAAAAGGGAAAATCAAGAGGAAATGTTTTCTAACACAATGGTGGTAGTATCAATAAAAATGGCAAATCACCCAGGTGAGCTGATACTCATCCTGCCTTGGTGTCTTTGTAGGCACTGATCCATTATCTGGAATATTCCTCTACTTTTTGCCATTAAAATTCTATGCTTTCCTTTATGACCTAGTATGAGAGAGCACAGTATTTAGTGGCTTTTAATTTGCTTGAAAAGAAGAAAAAAGTAGGTCAAGCCTCTTGCCTCCCTCCCCTTTGAATGGAGTTTATGCATAAAGAAGTTCAAAATACAAAAATGATTTAGGTCAGTCAGCCACTCTGTTTCCTGAAGGTTTGGGAAGAAATCTGTAGAACAGTAAGAAATCTGTTGTAAAAATTTACACCCTACAATTAGTTTTGGGGTTACCTTTTAGTCTTCAATCTTACTGATAATGTTTTGAGGTCAAACTATAAAACTTCTTAAATCACTGTTCCTTTCCCCAATCTATCCTGCTCTCTATTTCTCATTATTTATCCAAGTATATGATCTCCAAAATCTTTTTATAGCATTAAAGATTGAATGTATGCCTTGACACATAGGAGAATTTCAGATTGAAGATATACTTCCTATGACTCTTTATCCTCAATTTATCTCTACATAGAGTTTTAATGGTATAACCTAGAAATAAGACCAGCATATTTGTGAAATGTCTAAGTATTTTCTCAATTTTGTTGATCTAATTTGTCTTAACATGTTATCCCAGTTACAATTAAGGTTATTACCCTCTCATAAAACAGCAAAGTCTTTTGTAGAAAAACTTTTCCTCAGAAGTTTTTTCCTTGAGGTCCATCCACACCTTGTTATTTACTTCATGTTCCTATCTTTATATACAATAGCTCCTGACATCTTAATTTAAAATTTTTTCATTGTAAGTGTGTGTAAGCACCTGCACCTGATGTCTTGTTTACTAGTGTTGTGCCTGAATGGTTACACATTGAAATATTGGTTGTAAATTAGTTTCCTTTTAGTTCTCCTTTTTATTGTAGTTAAGACATTATTTGATATCTTTAAAGTTTTATATGTAGATAATATTACCTATGACTATCATTTTAGTATAATAAAGGGCTTTAAAAATACTTTTTATAAAAAGGGGCTTGGATTGAGAACTAGTTGTGTATTTTTCTCAGGACTCTACGGTACATGTGTACTCTTTTCTTTACCACATTCTGAAGTCTTTGAATACTGAGACTACATTTTTATACTTGCATTCCTCAGAGTGCCTAACATAATGCCCAAGCATGTGTATGGAGTGAAAATTACGGCTACTATTTGGCTCAAATATCACTGTGTCTTTATCTATGATACTCTAAGCTTCACTCTCAAGTCTCTAGGTAGATTATTTATCCTGTGTAGGACTTGTGTTCCTTGAATCTAGGGAGTTGAGTTGAGCTTTTCATCGATTCTGAAAAATTGTCACCCATAATCCTTTCACACCTTTATTTTTCAGGTTCTTAAGATATACGTGAATGTCTCCTCATTCTACTGTGCATGTTTCTAAACCTCCCTTCTGTATTTTAATCTCATTCTTTCTCTATTGTATTCTAGTAACTTCCTCAGATCAACTTTTCAGGTTTCTAATACTATTTCTACTGTTCCTAACCTGTTTAGTCTGTCCAATGAGTTTTTAATGTCACCATACTTTTTAATTTCTACATTTGTTTAGGTTTTTGAACATTTACCTATTGCTTTTTTTTTTGGTAGCATATCCTCAGGGTTTTGAATTCTTTTAAACATTTTAAGTATTATTATTTTATAGCTTCTTTTAGAATGTCACCTGAAGTTTCTGAAGGTCTAATCCTGCTGTCTGGTAATGTCTGCTGACTAATTTATAGACTGTTTCCTACTGTAAGTTATAAATTTTATAATTTATAGATTTGAGCTCATGTTCATGAGCCTGTACCTGAGGAAACCAGGGTTGAAGGCATATCCCTCCAGAATGATTTTATATTTGTTTCTGCTATATACCATAAAACTAAAATTCCAGGACCCTTTTTTAATGTTACTTTCTCACCTTGAAGGGTTCATAGACTCCACTGGTTATGTAACTTTCAAATTCCACAGCCATGCAAGCTGTTGGGCCATGAATAGAGATTTGAAAGGGAGCCATCCCTCCACTCTTAACAAGCTCAGTTAGTGACATATATATGCTTCCTTGATATCTCCATGCACTGATAAGCAATTTGTTCTTCTGTCGAGAAAACAGTTCTTTGAGTCCTGGCATTTTATGTGTGATAAAATCCAATACAAGGCCTTGCTTCTTGTCCACAAAAGTGGGTATTAAAACCCAAGACCTATTAGAGACCATCAACATCTGAAAAGTCCTGCTCTTATCGTTACTCTTTATAGTTCTCACTTTGGTTTTTGATTACTTGGGATTTCTCTTGTTTTCTTGCAAGATCAGCTGTATATTTAAAAGGATATTTATTAAATCAGTTACTAAGGAGAAGCAGTATGGTCTAGAAAATGCTGCACAAAAAAATCCCTGGGTAACGGTCATAGCTTTGGCACATAGTCAATTTATAACTAGCTTTATTGACCTTTGGCTTCTTCGTCTGCAAAATGGGACTACCACCTAAAGATTCTTAAAAAATTACCATGCGGATCAAATGAGATTATATATTTTAAAAAGCCACAAACAACAAAAGTACTCTATAAATAAGACACAGGGTGTTGTGAATACTTAACAGAGGTTATTAAAAACTCTTTCACTCAGCAAAATTTTGAACAATTAGAATTACTCTAGTGATTCTTACAACGTTCTGAATTTGTGCGAGAGAGAGAGAGAGAGAGAGAGAGAGAAGAGAAGAGAAGAGAAGAGAAGAGAAGAGAAGAGAAGAGAAGAGAAGAGAAGAGAAGAGAAGAGAGATAAATAGACAGATACTGAGATTTGAGGAACTGGTAAAAGCTAAGGATCTGCTTCCCAGAAAGCCATACAAAAATGCCACAATTATGTGTATCATTTCAGAATATTCCTAGGGATCCTGGAAACAGGGGTATAAATAAATGAATCTTGCACCAAGAACCTCTGTTCCAGATAAAGTAAGGTCAATTCAGGTGGTAGCTACAAACAACAAACATGAAACATGGACACGACACTGGCAGTCCTAGTGTTTAATCTCTACAAATCGGTAAAACTCCCAAACAAAACAACACAGTAATATTCCAGATCTCTACTTACCTATCTGGATTTATTAAAGATCGTATAGTAATAGCAGCCTTTAAACGCTGCTTGACATCTAGGTAACTAGAAGGCTCATCAAACATGAAACTATGGAAAAAAGGAGAAAAAAGAGCAAATAAATAAGACATTCTGTTTTGCATGTTAACTAAAGCACTATAGTATCAACAGCTTCTGATTTAATAACACAAACCTCCCCAAATACTAACAAAAATTCCACCTATAACAGTAAAATTTTCTATATTCTGTTCAAGAATAGAAGAATGAGAACTATCAGCAAAAGTAGGACTGCATACCAAGGTTGGGGAGAACCTATAAGATGAGGCTAATTACAAAATGGTACCTCCTCATGAAAAATATTCTGATGTAGTCTGAAGTAGTTTGTAGAGCTAGCAAACAGTCTTTTAGAGGGCACTGCATGCCAGAGTAGAAATGTGGAAAAAGATGGAAGCAATAAACATCTGAGAAGCACTAACAGGTGGGAAAGAAAATCGCCTGTTCACTTCTCTTTTTCTCTCATGTGGCATGTCACCCTGATCTAGGGTGATCTCAAAGACCTCATGTTTTGCTTTAGGTATTTAAAAAGTTTGCTGGCCTGGTTGGAGAGCTGAAGTCTTAAAAAAAAAAAGAAAAAAAAAACTTTATGTAAAAAATGAGCTTAAATTATAAACAAGTGACTTACATTAAACAACTCTGGAATGCATAAGTTAGAAAATACTTATCTAAGTAAATGGGTTTTCCCCTTCCTGCAGAAAAAATAACAGGGAAAATGGGTAGTGGATGCACAACTGCTTTAACATCTCACCTCAAAAATCAGAACCTTAGATACCATTTCTATTAATTTCTCAAAACCATTCCTTTAGTAGCAGCATTACAAATAAAATCTCTAAAATAAAGATTAAGATAAAAATTTTAAAGTAACCTACATATCAGCTTTCTGTATGCAAACAACAGCACAAGCAAATCTCTGCAATTCTCCTCCTGAAAGATCTTCAACATTTCGTTCTTTAAGGTGGGTTAAATCTATAAAGAACATAGAGGCATTAAGCTCAATGTTATAAATTTTCTTTTATCTCTTCCAGGATAAATGTATACTATGTATCATCATTCTAAGTTTGAATATGATTTCAGTTGAAAACTGTGTAACATAAAAAAATATGACAAAATACTAGAGAATGTTCCCATTTATTTCAGTAATCCATATAAAGATGTGTTCCCTTATGACTTAAGTTCAGAGCTTGTTAGTATATATACACACACACACATATATATATATATATATATTTTTTAAATAAACTTACCAAGCTGTTGACATACAACTGCCTGTGTCTTTGTTTCATCCTTTCGGTCCAAGATAGATCCCACTGTCCCCTGTCATAATATACCAGAAATAGTTACCACTATTTTCTTCAGTATTAAAAAGAATCACTAAGTAAAATAAGTTTATGTTGATAAATCTTTTATACCACCACCAATAAAGTATATTAATTCCCCCTAAAAAGCAACTGACCTTTGCAGCCTTGGGAATCTGGTCTACGTATTGAGGTTTGATAATGGCTTTTAGGTCATCTTCTAGAATCTTGGTAAAGTAATTTTGTAATTCAGATCCACGGAAATAAGTCAAAATCTCTTGCCAGTCAGGAGGGTCCTAGAAATGTATATATAATTATATAAATTTAAACTAAGAATACAATTGCAAAGAGGATGAATGCCAAACGAAATAGAATATCTGTCCAAGTAGAATACTTCTGGCTTCTCTTTAAAATTGGAGACAGAATTAATTTCACATGAAGGCCTAACAAGTATCAGTTTCCTTAAGGAAACTCAGATTTTCCAGTTAAGTAGCACTAACAGATTTTAATTAAAAAGGAATGAAAGAGCCTCATCTATATAGTTTCTCAGCTGAATTCCACCAATAACCTTGAAAAGAACATTAAAGTAAACCAAATACACACCAATCCCCTCAAAATCTCATAAAATCAACTCAAGATATTGACTTTTATAAGGTGGCAATACATACATCATATTTTCCAAGGTTTGGCTTTTGCTTTCCTGCTAAAATTTTTAAAGCAGTTGACTTTCCAATACCATTAGTTCCAACTAATCCCAAAACTTCACCTGGACGAGGGATAGGCAACCTGTTATAAATATATAAAAATAAAAAACAAAACTCAGACTTAGGTGAAAAAGCTCAGAAAAAGCTACATAATATCAGAATGATGTATTTTAAAGCGCTTGCATTTCACACACATCCATTAATAAGCTAAGAAATATATGCCAGATATTATTGGCTATTAGAAAAAAAAGATCAGCCAAGATTAACTTAAACTGTTAATTGTTAGAAATGCATTCATAACCAATATTACTCCAAGTTTTATTTATTCAATTTTCATTCAAAGTCCATTCTACAGTAACATTTCTTTTTACACATAAGGTTCAGTTTTAATATTTAACAAAATGCTTTGGTACAAAATTACATAGCAGGTGCAACCTCACACTGTCTTTTTTTTCTGGCCTGCCATTTACTTACAAGGAGAGAAGTGCCACATCAACCAGAAATATTCCACTTCATTCTCCCTGCTGCAGTAGGCCCTTTAAAGCTGGCAGGTTGAGAAATACCTTTTTATTAGTAAGATCTAGACTCCCAGATCAAAATATTAGTGTTTAGCAGATAAAAACCACAAGGAACTAAGGACTTATTTGTGATTTAATAATATATATCCAAGTTCAAAGTGATATTCTCTGTATATCATAAAATTAATGGATAAACAAAATCAAAGGCAAGTTCCCTTAAAAGTTATTTTGGGGATAAGGGCACTACGAACAATAGTGATTCTCAGTCCTGGTTGTCCATTAGAATCACCTGTGACTTTTTCAATTTACTAACGTCCAGCTCCTATATCCAGAGATTATGATGTAATTCAACTGGGCCGAAACCTGGACATTAGCAGTTTTAAGAAGTCTCTCAGGTGATTCTAATGTTAGCCAGAATGAACCACTGACATATATAATATGATTGTGCATGATGTTATTAGACTGTATTTCCCTTTGGCGGATGGTTAATGTAATTTTCCCCCATTTTTGCACTTCTCGGAAAATTCTAAATGTATATTACTCTTGACAGAAGTAAAGAGGAATGTTGATGTGAAAATATACCTGTGAAGTTTGAAGGCATTGGCACAATATCGATGTGTGGTTTCTTTTTCCAAGTTGCTTGGTAAATTGACAATTGATAAGGCGCCAAAGGGGCATTTCTGTTATTTAAAGTAAAGAATTAATTTTGTATTAATTTATAGAAATATACACATGATTAAAATGGATAGATTAAGAATATTTTGATAAGCAATCTTCCAAATATTGGAGCTTCACAAAGACGTGAAATACTGTTTCATTTCCTTTTCTTATTTACCTAAAAATAAAAATTAAGTTTCTTGAAGACTGGAATCATATCAACTCCAGTCATCCCTTGGTATTTGCAGGGGATTGGTTCCAGGAACCCTGTATATACCAAAATCTGTGCATATTCAAGTTCTGCAGTTGACCCTGCAGAACCTGAGTACACAAAAAAGTAAGCCCTCCCTGTATTTGGGTTTTGCATCCTACAAATGCTGTATTTTCAATCCAAGTTTGGTTGAAAAAAGTCCACATATAAGTGGACCCTCATGGTTCAAACCTGTATTGTTCAAGGGTCTATAATTTGATATTCTTCTTAGTGACTGGCATAATCCTAAATATTTAATGAATGTTTAACACTTACTGAAAAATCTTATAGAACTATAAGTTTTGTTTTTTAAACATATTAGATAAAGTTAAGAGGTGAGACAAAAAAGTGGTCATTGAATATATGATTCCATATTTTCTCCAAATCAGATAGCTTCCCTTTACTTCCTTCAATTATTCCTGTCCTTGATGCTTCCTTTTCTATCTTGTAAAGTCCTTTAATGTCACAGATTTTCTTTTCTTGGGCTATTTCTATTCCACCATTAGCTAGCAGGTCTGCACAGACCAAGGATTAATGTCTTTTCATTGTAACTTTTATCCATCCCATATGAAAAAGATGCTTCAATTCTAATTTCATGTTAAAAATAAAAAACCACTTATTCTTCAAAAAACTTATTCAAAGAACATCTACCAGGTAAATGTCCAAGGAATAAGAATGGCAAGAACAGAAAGGTCATTTCAGAGTGGTAATGCGGCAAGAAAAATTTCTCAGAAGTATAGGCAACTACAGAGGTACATCCAGAGAGTATAACCTCAGATCAGAGATCTGTTTAGCAGCCATTGTCAATCTCAAGGGACCAATTCCAAAGTCTCTGTATAAGAGATTTCAGTGAATTTCCATTTTATAAGTAACAAGAACATACAGAATTAGAAAAAAACCCTCTTATTTTCTAATAAAGCAATTTCCACCCTGTTATCAAAACTACTACCTTTTTATAAATTACATTTTTCTGCCAATGGAGTTATCTCCATTATTCTCTTTTCATCAATGTACATAAAATGCTTATAGGTTGCCAGTGATTTAAGCTTCTTTAAATTTACAAGGCAAAAAATATCCACACTGTTCATATATGAGGCATACTTGAAGTATCTTAGTGTACAGAACTATATATTACTTCCCCACCCCAAGTTAATAAACTTATACATTTTACTTTCTTCCTTTCAGAATCCTAATAAAAAAAAAACCTTCTGTTTATGCTTAACAAAACATGAATCAAATACACCAAAGGAACTACTGTAGCATCACTTTTGTGATGAGAAAGGATGCAATGAAATTCAACATAAGCAAAGAAACTACACCTGGAGGAAAGAAAAACAATGATCCAGGAAAGAATCCTTGGGGGGGGGGGAATGAAAAATAATAAGGAAACCACTGGGGCTGCTCCCTCCCCCCCTTTTTTCCATCTCATTAGAATGTTTTCAGCTACTCAAGTATGTATCCAAAATTTTGGAATCTCATTTTCCTAGAGCAGCAAAGAAAACAGAATAGATGATAACTATTGTATTCAAAATCAGACTCCAAGTACCTATGAATAGATTAGACATAGACAGGCATCTAATAAGAGATTATTTGCTTGAAGCAATGTTTCCGGCTTATTTTTTTAAAACAAGGGAAAATGTTTTCAGTTATTTAGAAAATCTTTCTGGATACTTAGCCAAGGATTCAGAAACTAATATAAAATATGCATATGATTTATCTGAACAATTAATAGAGTGGCATCCATACTCTGATGAAGCTCCTTTTAATAACATCTACAAATAACTGTATCCAAATTAAGCACTTCATACATGTCTCTTAAATTTCTTTTATTATCTAAATTTCTTTTATGAACTAGAGCTGAAAATATACCATTAATTAGTCAAAAAGCCTAATCAAACTATTCAATGCAACAACAACTAATTGAGCTATTTTAAAAATTACATTATCAGGATAACTAGAAGCACGAAGCAGCACTTAAGGATTAGGTTAAATTTAAAAATTCTTGGTTGTATTTCTATTTAAAAAGTGTGAATTTAAAATTAAATAGAGACTTGAAAAAATGTTAATATGATAGTCTTTTTTTATATCTATATTTCCAAAACTTTCTGATAAACACATTCTGGAGCATGTCCTGCTCTTAAAGGGGTGAAAAAAAGAAATTAATTTTCCCTTAAAATGGTTTTACAGAGTATAGTAAGAATAACTTTTAAAAAGGGAGGTTTAATTAACTTAAAAAAGCAACAATATTATTGCGATTAGAACCCCACTTTACTAAGTTTATTTTCTTTATCCATTAGCTTTAGATTTGGCCTCTTTAAAAAAATACTCCTAACACAGTATTCAGAATTTTCAGATTTCATTTTCAGGTTATAAATTTGATCCAATAAATAAAGTATCATTACTTACCTTAATACAAATACCACAACCAATACAAAGAGTTTCAGAAATCCATGCTATTTTGCTCTGGGGTGTAACCTCTATGCATAATTTTCCTAGCGAAGGAAAAAACACAATCAAGTTATTTTCCCTGATCTTCTAATTTTCTGGACACTGTGATTTAGGCAATACCAGTTCCAATTTTCCATAAACAAGCAGACTTTCAAAAACAAAGGCCACACAAATAAACACATGTGAGATAATGTCTTAAATCACAGCTTTGTGGGAGTATATTTCTGAATTAATTTCTCAACTTATATTTTTATTTTTAAGCTGACTGACCTGAATCTTTGATTCATAAAATATGCTTGGAAATGGTAATGCACACCACAGAAAGGAATATATATGTTAGCTAGATTAGTGAAACTTCAAAAAGGTATGCAATTACCTAATACACAGGTAAAATTAAACAAGATATTAGGGATATTAAGAATGGAATTTCTGAATAGCATGGGAGAAAATAACAAACGACATCTAAAATTTCTTTTAAGATTTAATAACTCTATACCTCTCTAGTACATTTAAAGTAACAGTTGTTTAACATAGCCCTTAAAGATTACCAACAATTAGCCAACTCTGAATTGTTGGAAATTTATCTAATTGTCAATATATAGCAAACCTTAAGAATAGTCATTCTTATTAGGCTATTTATTCTTGTTTTTTAAACATGAGAATACTGTCAATTCTCAAAGTTTCTGGCAGCCCTTTCCCCATTAACCTGAACTCTGGTTTGATTTCACAGTAATAAACTTTTAAATATTGATGTATTATTCTAATTCTTTTTTAAAAATAGGACCATTTAGTCACAAAGCAATAAAAGAAATTTAGAACAAACTCTAGTTTTCTCATCTTCATAGTTTAAAGAAACTAACGGGGAAAACAAAGTATATGCTAAAGCCCATACAGAACTATGAAACCAATTTATTTCTTTCAAAACCTTCTTTTACCTTTAAATGATCCCCAGAACAACTTACCCATTCGAACCACAGGACAACTCTTTTTGCATTCCTGCCGACATTTCTTAGGTTTACATTTGTCATGGTTGACAATAGCAATTCTTGTTAATTTGTCTGCCATAATTGTAAAGAATATCCAGCTCTTCTATTAAAGAAAATTAACAAAATTATGGCAAATTCAATGCAATTAGTTAAGAGAAATAATTTATAGGCATAAAAGTTAGACAGGAGGACATAAATAATTATCTAGAAATGAAATGATGATCTGGAAGACATAAGAAAATTGAAAAAATAGTAAAATAATCTAGTAAGGTTGTGAAAACCAAATTTTACATATACCTTAATCAGAAGATGTATATAAGAAAAAAAAATTACCATTTATAATAGTAACAAAAAGGAAAATACCTAGGAATATACCAAACAAGATATATACAAGAAGAAACTTTCAAAACAACAATGAATGATATAAAAGACCTGAATAAAGTGACATGCTCAGTTTTTATAATAAAAAATTGTTGATATCACACATTTCAATACTTTTTAATCCTTCAATCCTAATTAAATTTATACATTTAATTCAATCTCATGGGGAAAAAATAAACCAGACAAACCAAATCTAAAGTTCTTATGGAAAAAGAAAAGAAGTACTAATTGTCAGAAAAACTGTAACAGAACAAGGAGGATAAGGGAACTTTCACTTGAGACACATTTAAAAAAATGATGTAAGGCCATAGTAATTAATATTTATATCAGTGTATGAATACAGACCAATAAAACAGAAAAACTAGATATGAAATGAATACATTAAGATGTTCACTGCCCCCCTCCCTCAAACTAAGCATTACTTGATGTCTCAGTCACCCCACTGTAACGCTATTTTTTTTTATAACACTATTGATAGAAATGGCAAATAATTATTAAGGCTGTGACCATCATATTGATCAACGGGGAAAAGCAAAAACTGCATGTCTCTGGGAACTTGTGATATGGCCAGATGGATTTTATGCTAACAGCAATGAATTAAAAAGAGACCAAGTATTAATAACTATATTATATACTATGCTCATTTTTAAAGCCTTCATAAGTCTTAATACATATATAACAAGTGTCATCACTATATAGCATTAAGATCAAAGCTAATTCAAAAATGTTTTAGAATATTAGGCTTAGTGATTTGGACCTTAATTTCCTTACAATGGTGATTAAAGTAAATAATTCCAAAGTATTTTTTTTTTTAGATAGGGTCTCTCTCTGTTGCCCAGGGGCAATGGCACAATCATAGCACACCGTAATCTCGAACTCCTTGGGCTCAGACGTTCCTCCCATCTTAGGCTCCTAAAGTGCTGAGAGAATAGGCATGTGCCACGATGCCTGCCCAACAATGTCTTAATATTCCAATATGTAATGAAAGAACCAGAAACCAAGACTATTCATTTATAAAGATATTCTGTTGGCCTTTTCTTACTGTGATCCTCAACTCTAATTTTTTTTGGACATACTGCTTCCCCTTGCAGACCTCTTTAAGTCTTTCTTACACCCATTAATATCATCAGGCTTTAAGGGGGATAAGAGATCTTACTTCTCAATGCTGTCCCATATTATCATCTTTTCCTCTTCCCTAAAAACAGTCAATTTTGCCTCTCACACCATCCAACTGCTTTAGTCATTTACTAACCATCAGACTACCTCCTTTTATTCTGTGAGATTTCAACCATTGGCTAACTTTCACACTTTTATAACTCCTGACAAAATTCTTAGTGATTTCAATACGCTCATAGATGATCCTTCTAGTAAAAGCATGTCCTCTCAGTTCATTAACTCCTCTCCTCCAATATCTTGTATTCTACACTACCACAGACACTCCTTTGGTCAAACCCTAGACCTTGTCATTACTAACTGCAATCTTTCCATAACCTCAATTTCAAATGCCTCATTCTCCAACCACCATTCCTATCTTTTCAGCTCACCCCCTACATTCAACAGCCCTTTGATTCCCCCATTCTCCAAACCTACTACCACTATCTCTTGACTCTACGGTTTCACTGTCCTCAGTAATCTTCATTTCCCTTCCTATCCAGCTAAAATTCCATTGCCAATTATTAACAGCCTTCTCCACAATCTTGGTTAAATTCAATCTTGACCTGCACACATACATACAGCTGAAAACAGAAAAAAACCAAAGCCTGTGAACTAGTCTTCCTTTAAATCCATCATCCCAAATGTACTTTATGCTAACCATCAATGACACTGTATGTATTAATATTTCCCTAAGTCTATGTGTACACCAGAAGACATTCCCTATGGATAATGTTCAAAAAATTCTCTCTCTTGTCTTTATCATCATCAATTATTCTCTCCACTGGCTCGTTCCCATCAGCATTCAAGCATTCTGTTATCTGAATTCATCATGTCCTACTGCTTTATTTCTCTTTCTCCAAGACTACTGAAAAAGTTGCCTATACTCAAGTGTCTCAAATTTCTCTCTACAAATCTCTCTGGAATTGATTCCAAGCTCTAGTGCCCATTTCATCAAAACAACTAGTCATGCCATTACCCTTCTACACATGGCTAAATCGAATGGTTAATTATCAGACCCCAACTGACACAAATTATAACTTTTTCCTACTAGATAAAAGCCCTTTCTTAACTTGGTTCTAGGATACATCACTAACCTGGTTCCTCCTATCTTCCTGGTCACTCTTCACCTACAATGCTTCAAAATGTTGAGAGTGCTCTAAAAGCACTCAGTCATTTTTCCCATCTATATTCATTCCTCCAAGGTGTTCTATTCTGGTCTTATGGCTTAAAATTCCACTTATATATTGCATATTTCCATCTTTCCTGAACCCTAAACTTGTACATCTAACTACCTGCCTACCCAACACCTTCTCTAGAAGATCTAGGAGGCATCTTCCTAACTATGCCACTGAAATCCTCACCAAAATTCATTTTTCTAGCAGTCTTGCCCATTTTTCAAAATAGTAACTCCATTTGCTCAGGCCAAATCCTTGAAGTCATCTTTCTTTTCCACTGTACATCAGCAAATCCTATTGAATTCACCTTTGAAACACATCCAGAATCAGACCACTTCTCATGACTATGGTCTAAGCCATCATCTCTTACCTGCATTACTCTAATAGCTTCCTAAGAGATCTCTTTGCTTTTATCCTTGCCTCCTATGCCAACTGTCAAAAGACCATGATGTAGAGTAATCTTTTTAAAGTATACGCCAGATTGTGTCACTCCTACTTAAATCCTGCAATGGTTTCACTTCTCAGTATGAGTAAAAGCCAAAGTCCTTAAAATAATCAATGAAGCATTGATCAATCTCTGTTGATTTTCTGATCTCATCTTCAATTACTCTCTAGCTCTTGTTCATTTGGCTACAGCTACCTTGGCTCCTTGTTGTTCCTAGCATATCGCAGGCATGTTCTTGATTCAGGATCCTGGCACTTTTTCTTCCTTCTGCCTATAATACTTTCCCCCCTAGAGTTACACAGCTCACTCCTTCAAATCTTTGCTGTCCATTTCTCAGTGAGCCTTCTCTAGCTATACCACAAAAAAAATACACTTGACTGCCTTTTTATCCCTTTTTTATTTTTATTTTTCTACTCAGCTCTACTACATGACATACTATATACGTCGTATATACATCCAGTGTATATGTACACATTTATCATATGTGTGCACATATATATAATCTTTCTATAAACATACAATCATTTTTCCCTTCCCCAAGTAGAATCTACTTTACCACAAGGACAGGGTTTTGTTTGTTCATTCCAGTGGCTGAACCAATGCCTAGCACATAGAAGGAACTCAAACATTTCTGCTGAATGAGAAAATGAATTTAAACAAAATAATTTTTCTATAGTTATAACAACTTTAGAAATCTTACAGGTTATCAATATTTTATAGTGACAGTAGTCTACTATATACTGAAAAGAAAATCACCCAAAAAGAGACTAAATATCCATGTAATAAAGATAGAGCTGTGCTAAAAAAACAGGTTCACTTTACTCCCTTAAAAACTGGTCCAGACTGCACTTGACTAGTCTTAAAAACAAAACAAAACAAAACAAAAAAACTGGTCCAGGTCTTGTAAAGATTAGACAAAAGAAATTAAATGACTTAAATTGCTACAAAAGCTACCATTCTGGAAATGATGACTTCCTAAGATCCGAAGATCCTTTAGCAAACTATTAAAATAAAACCGGACACCACGCATTCCAACTTAAATACTGAATGTCTTTCTATAAATTACCGAGTGAGTGAAAGAGAAAGAGCATAATGAATTTTCCTCCAGGTGATAAATCTTTTATTATGAAATTGCCAAAACTTTATTTCTGTCAAACTACTAAAACATTTCATCTGATTTTTCAAACTATTTTAGAAACTAAGAGACTGTCAGAAACAATTTTTTTAAGAGCTGAAGTCTTGCTATGTTACCCGGGCTGGAGTGCAGTCACTATTCATAGGTGTGATCATAAGGCACTACAGCATCAAAGTCCTGTGCTCAAGTGATTCTCCTGCCTTAGCCTCCTGAGTAGCCTTGACTTCAGAAACAGAATAAAGAATAAAAATATACCAGAAGTGGTTACTAAACTTATTTACATAAAAATAGTGATAAATTGTAATTCATTTAAGAAAAATGAATATTGATTCTTTATAGAACTATTATCTGTGTAAACACATTTAATTCAATTTCTATATTAGCTTCAAGAATTGGGGAAAGTGTGTTCCTTACTTTCTTTTACAATACAAAAGATAGGCCAAGGGAAGCTCTGTGGAGAAGACAGACTCCTGGGAATAAAGATGGATATAAAGATATTTCAGATCTAATGACAAACTGTTCAAAATGGGCAAACAATGACACGTGTCATTCTTCCAGCTGAGCGGATAAAAGGAAGCGAGGCATACACAGAAAGCATTTACATTTTAAAACCAAAATTATTGCAATGCTAACTAAAACATTTTCAAAGATTGCTATTAATGATGTTTGATATTACATGAAATATTCTAACCTATGCTTATTGTAGGCTATTAGTCTCATAAAACACTTATAATAAGATGGGAGTGGTGTACAACTCTGATTTCAAAGAGTCTTACATTCAAGACACTGAGAAGGAACTCTAACTTATTAATACTTTCCCTCCCACAGCAATTATGTTAAACGTCCTTCCTAAAAAAGAAAAAAAAACAAAATGTTTTTAAGATAGGGAAGAACAATGTTTTTAACTAAAACAAAACAAATCCCAAAAAACCTTTTGGTTCAAATACAGATTAAGAGCCTTTGGTTACATTGACAAAGCATTATTGTCAGGTGTCAGGTATAAAATAAATATTCTCAGTATATGGGACAAACTACTGCAACATCAATGCCACTGTCTTAAGTAATTAGTTAGCAATCCTGTGGAAGAGAAGGTTAAAAAAAAGTTGGACAGTTATTCACCACTGTTACCGATTTTACCATCGAGAAAGAGAAAATACATTTATGTAGTTCGTGGAATAAGGGAATCCAGCTTTGGCTGTCATTCATTCACAAGAAATACTAAGTGCCTACAATGTACGAAGCCTTAAAGAGACAATGAGGTATTTTGAGTAAAGACATCACCCTTGACCTCAAGGAGTTTAAGATAACAAAGGAAAAACGGATAAATCACCAAGGGGAAAAAGTGCCAGGTGAGATAAAAGCGTACCAAAAAAGCTAAAGGCATTCAACTGGGAAATTACTTGGGATAACCCATCACAGCCGAGCACACGTTGTTCTAAGGGAAAAGGAGAGCGCGGTTTGGCCATCATTTCTATAAAGCCTGGGAGAGGACAGGGAGTATTCGACTTCATGGCGGCAAGATGCCATGACTCATTCCACAATCACCAAAAGGTGGAAGAAAAGCCACGACTTCCCACAACCAAATACGCACATGTTACGATATAATCACGAGGGGAGCGTGGGGGGACTAGAGGGTGCTGTTAAGTTCTGAAGGTGCCTTCTTCCCTGGAATGTTTCGCTCCAGGGTGGGAGCAGGGTAAAGGGGGAGTGCATATGATGGCACCTAGGTCCACTCTCGTATCCCCTAGTGGGGGTGGCGGGCAACAGTGGCCGAAAGCTGGTCTGCTGGAGGGGAAGCACGAGGCGACCCCAAGCTCTCGGCGTCACCCGCGCACCGGCGGTCCCAGCTGTTCCACCAGAGCCGGCTGCCACGCGCCGCTGCCGTCTCCGCCACCTGAGGCCTAACCAAAGGCTCTCGGAGAACGTCCCTACAGTCTTTCCAAAGTGGCAGGTGGCGGCTAACGGCCCTACCCCTCCGGGCTACTCACGTACCTGCAGTGAACGGATCCCCTGGCGGAGGGGAGCGCAGAGGCCAAATCAATTCTTGCCTTCACGTTTCAGCCACACAGCGTGCTCTTACGGCCACCGGCCAAAATGGCGGTGCCCAGCCGCCGCCTCGCGCGAGCCATAAGGGCCTAGTGCGCGCGCGCGCGACAGAGAGCGTGAGGCGGAGCCTTGAAGGTGAGCAGGGCGGGATGACAATGTCTGACGTCATTGTGCTGCGACCCTAATTCTTCGTCGTCTGGGAAGCCGGGCTGTCCTCAGAAGCATAGTGGGAGTGGCGCGGAACTGCTGCACGTCTTGAGAACCTGAGTTGCGGCCAGCCGGGTCTGGACTCTGTAAGTGTGTGGGCTTTTCCCCGACTTGAAGAATGGTCCTAGTGTAAGCAGAGGCATTCTCCTCCCTAATCTCAGTCTCTTTTTACACTCGCCGTCTCCTCAAGGCCGATGGGTCAGGCGTGGAGCCTCAGTCTTTCTATCACGCCAGAGGTGTCAAGCAGGACCAACAGAGTCTGGTCTCCACACTGCTCGCTGTGGCGCGCCCTCTTTGGCCCCAGCTCCCTGTCATCTGTGTGGTCAGTTCTTTAAGGCCAGGAACCCGGTCTTCCCCGAGCTCCGTGTTTTATCCACTTGGTGGCGTCCAGTTTCAAGTCCTGCAATTGAATTCTGCCCCAACGTGGAGATGTGCTTTTTATTTATTAATTTTTTTAGATGACAGGACATTCAATTTGTAATTATGGCTAGAGTTTAATAATCCTGTCCGAGACCTCTGTTAACTTGCAGGCAAGTGGCAAATACTTTACGACTAAACCTATTCATTTATTAATTCAGGAAGTTACTTATTGAGCATTTACTTCTGAGGCCTTTCCGAAGTTTACAGTCCACTGTCTCTGCCATTATTTAAGAGTATCAAGTGTGTATTAGTGAACAACTTGAGATCTAATGGGAGGTGTCAAGGACATGGTATATACACAACTGTTGGATCTATTTTGCATGTATAACAATGTTCAGTAGCAATAACCGCTACAGTAGCAGTAACTGTGCTACCAAAGCAGTTTTACATATTGTTCACTATCCAAGAAGTATTTTTTCACGTTTGCATAGATTTATTAACAAAAGATATGAAAGATGAAGTCAACCTTTTTAGAAAAGCCAGTTATTCACTTCTAAACTTTGAAGCCATTTTTTCTGACTTTATCTTCTATGGTAAGAGCACATGTAAATGGAACTTTTGACAGCTGATGGGGAGATATAATTGTTCTCTGCATCATTTAATGAATATTTAAAATGAGAACCAGGACTAGGCTTAGTGGCTCACACCTGTAATGCCAGCACTTTGGGAGTGCTGAGGCGGAAGGATCACTTGGGGCAAGGATTTCGAGACCAGCCCGTCTTTACAAAAAAAAAAGTTTAAAAATTAGCCTAGCATTGTGGCATGTGCCTATAGCACCAGATACTGGGGAGGCTGAGGCGGGAAGATCGCTTATGCATGGGACTTGGAGGTGCAGTGAGTTACGATCATGCTACTGTCCTTTAGCCTGGGTGACCAAGCGAGACTCTATCAATCAGTCAATCAATAACATACCAATATTTCCGTGTTCCTGGAATAAGAGAATTTCAATCTGACTTTTCTAGGGTTAAAAGTCATTTGAATTTTTACTCATAGAAGTATAGAACTGCATAGTATTGTAGAATTAAAAATCATCAAATCAACTTTTTTTACAGGAGAGGAAATAAAACCCAAACTTGTTCAAAGTCTAGGGTAGTTAAAAGAAGTACTGAAGCCAAAACTTTGTTCCTGTTCTCTTTTGAGTACCATACTCTACTGCTTTGCACATCTGGTCATAATATATTTCAGACTGAATTCCCAAGATTTTTTTGATTATAGTGATTGAGTTATATTAACTGTATTTGAGAAATAGATGATTAATATTGGGATATATGAGTGCTCCATTTTGATGTTAAATTTTTACTTTTACCTTTTGTATAAAGATGTTCAGTTTCTGGTGTAATGTGCATATTCTTTTTTTCTGCATAGAATGTTTAAAAAATGACCACACCAAACAAAACACCTCCTGGTGCTGACCCGAAGCAGTTGGAAAGGACTGGAACAGTACGGGAAATTGGGTCACAAGCTGTTTGGTCACTCTCATCTTGCAAACCAGGTAAAACAAAATGAAAAAACTGTCAGTAATAGTTACTTACAGTTTTCTTGTACAGTAATCCCACCATATCATGGGTGGTTCCAAGACCTCCAGTGGATGCCTGAAATCAAGGATAGTGCTGAATGCTATTTATGCTATGTTTTTTCCTATACATATGTGCCTATGATAAAGTTTAATTTATAAATTAAGTGCCAAGACCTCCAGTGGATGGTTCCAAGACCTCCAGTGGATGCCTGAAATCAAGGATAGTGCTGAATGCTATTTATGCTATGTTTTTTCCTATACATATGTACCTATGATAAAGTTTAATTTATAAATTAAGTGCAATAAGAGATTAACATTAACTAATAATAAAATAGAACAATTATAATAATGTACTGTAATAATAGATATATGAATGTGGTCTCTCTCACTTTCAAAATATCTTACTGTACTATATTCACCTTTCTTGTCATGATGTGAAATATAAAATACCTCCCTGATGGGGTGAAGTGAGGTGGATGATGTAGGTGTTGTGACGTAGTGTTAAGCTACTATTTAGCTTCTGACAATAGTTCAGAAGGAGGAGGAGCATCTGCTTGGAAGTTGATTCTGGATCACTGAGCCATGACAGTGTTGATGGTTGGATGTCAGGAGCAGATGATGTCAGTGAGTAACAGGCAGATACTATATGCAGCATGGATATGCTGGACAAAGGGATGTTTCATGCCCTGGGTGGGACAGAGTGGGATGGCGAAAAATTTCATCACACTACTTAGAAAAGTGTGCAATTTAAAACTTATAAATTTTTTATTTCTAGAATTTTTCATTTAATATTTTCAGATCGAGGTTGACCTAGGGCAACTGAAACTGTGGAAAGTAAAGCCACAGAAAGCAGATCTGCAGATAAGAAGGGACTGCTGTACACTGGATTGATTTTAATATTCATATCTTATATTTCATGCTAAGTCTTCAAAAACAAGTATATCTTTTATTTATTTTACACTTTCCATCTCAATTCAGACTAGGCATATTTCAAGTGTTAGCCATATTTCAAGTGTTCAGTAGCAACATGTGGTGGCTACCATATTGAATAGTGCAGATTTAAGAGTCATAGAGTGAGTAATAGCCTCAAGTTTACATTTTAATAGAAAACTATTTTCTGTCACCACCTTAAAGTATCATCACTTGCAACTTATATTACTACAGTGATGTTCTCTCTCCCTGGGGCTGAAGAATCTATCTAAAGATTTTGATCTTATAAATTCCTGATCCTACTAAAAATTCTTCAATAGGTTGGCTATTTTTCAAGATAATTTATATTCCTTAGCTTAGTGCACAAGAGTCTGTGTGATCTAGCTTCTTCAAATGTCTCTGGCTTATTTCCTGCTCCACAACAATGTTTCTCCTTAGCTTCCAAACCTAGCTAACTAATACTTCAGAATTCAATGCAAAAGTCAGTTTCTCTGGGAAAACCTCTCTTATACAGTAGTATATCAATAAAGGCAGCAGATGCAAATTTAAGATACAAATCTCAGACTGGGGAGGATATATTTGGATTACATGGAACAAACAGAGGGTTAATATCTATAATAGTAAAAAGAGTTACAAATCAATTAAAAGACTAAAGTCTATTGAAAATGTAGGAAGGTATGAAATTTTATATAAAAATAAATGTAAATAATTAATAAAACTATGATGTACAATTTTTACCTGTTAGGCTAATAAATCAATCTAAAAGATTGATTGTATTTTAGCATGAGTACAGAACAGTGTTGTCCAGTCAAACTATAATGCAAACCACATTTACAATTTAAAATGATCTGGCAGCCACATTAAAAAAGGTAAAAAGAACAGGTACAATTAATTAATTTGTCTCAATATATCCAAAATATCATTAAAACATGTAATCAATATAAAAACTTATTAAACATATATTTAAATTTTTTCATATAAAGTCTTCAAAATCTAGCATAAAACACATCAGCAAGAAAAAACGAACAATGCCATTAAAAAGTGGGCAAGTGACATGAACAGAAGTTTTTCAAAAGATAGACAAAAGGCTAGCATATGAAAAAATGCTCAAAATCACTAATCATTAATGAAATGCAAATTAAAGCCACAGTGAGATATCACTTTACTCCTGTTAGAATGGCTTTTATCAAAAAGTCCTAGATGCTGGCATGCATGCAGAGAGAAAGGAACGCTCATACACTGTTGGTGGGACTACAAATTAGTATAACCCCAAGAAAACAGTGTGGAGATTTCTCAAAGAACTAAAAGTAGATCTACCATTCAATCCAGCAGTCCCACTACTAGATGTCTACCTGAAGAAAAAAAAGTTATTTTGTCAAAAAGATACCTGCAATTGAATGTTATTGCAGCACAATTTCACAATTGCAAAGAAGTGGAATCAACCCAAGTGTCCATCAGTTCATGAGTAAATTAACAAAATTTGGTGTATGTATACCATGCAGTACTACTCAGCCATAAAAAAGGATGAATTAATGTGTTTTGCAATAATTTGGAAGGAACTGGAGATCATTATCCTAAGTGAAGTATCTCAAAAAACAAACTACACATCTACTCTCTAATAAATTGGAGCTAACCCATGGGCACACAGGTGGATAGAGGGAAGTAAAAATCATTAAAAATCAAGCAGCAGAGATAGGGGAGGAGAAGAGGGGCCAAAATCCACCCAATAGGTACAATGAACACTATTTGAGTGATGAGCACATTTAGTATCAAAAATATCTATACCCCCTTAATGTTCTGAAATGAAAA